AGTGTGTTCCGCCCGTTGTGGGAAAAGGCCCTCAACCACTTCTCGCAGGAAGCTGGGCTGGAGAGTCTCCGTAAGGGGGGGGCCCGACGCGCGGAGCTTTTGTCGCACCGCGCGGTAAGGGCGACCCCAGGGGTCACGATTAAGACCCTCCAGCATCTCCTGTCTTTTTTCTTCTTTGGCGCGGCTAATGGCCAGCTTCAGAGTTTTCCGCGCCCGTCGGTACTCCTCATGAAGCCGGTCCTCCTCACCGTCTCCACGGTGACGCCGCCGACTGCGCGTGTAGGACCTCCGGGCACGTGTACAGGCCGCACGGAGGTCCGCCAGCTCCTGGGACCACCAGTAGACCTCCTTCCTTGGAGGCCGACGACCTCGAACGCGGGGCATGGCCGCATCGCATACATGCGTAATCGCATCGCGAAAGCGGCCAGCCCCCACGTCGACCTCCTCGGTCGGAGCCTGAGGAGACAGCCACGAGTGAATTATGGCTGCCTCCTCTAGTAGGTCCCGGTTCAGCCTGGCAACAGCCCACCGCGGAAAGCGGGATAAACGCCGCGCCACGTGACCCCTACTGGAGTCCTGGGTCCGGGAGAGCTCAAATCGGATATACAGGTGATCCGAGAGCGTCTCAACCTCTTCCAGGACACGCCAGTTCCTTACTCGTGCGGCGAGGGCAGGGGTAGCGAACGAAAGGTCCACTATCGACCCCCCCTGCTGTCGCACGCACGTGTTGGTGGAGCCTCTGTTTAGAAGACAGAGGCCCACCGAGGCCGCCCACTCCTCTACGGCCTCGCCCCTGGCGTCCGTCCTGGGGGAACCCCACGCAATGGACTTTGCGTTGAAGTCCCCCAGTACAAGGACGTGCCCAGACGCTAGTCGCCGTATCGAGGTCTCCAAACTGGTTAGGAAAACCTCGAAGTCGTTCAAACTCCGGTTGGGGGAGAAATAGACACCATATATGGTGATCCCCCCCCACTCGACGGCAACATATCCAGTGCCCTTGTCTCTTAGCGACAAGGGCGGGGAATGAGCCGTCGTGGAACCGACGACTGCCACGGAGCCGTCCCAGTCACCCATCCAGTTTGGACGGGGAGGGACAGAATAGGGCTCCGCGACTACGGCAACACCTATCGACCACTGTGCCATGGTTTGCAGGAAAAGATCCTGCGCCGCGGCACAGTGGTTCAGGTTCGTCTGGACCAGGAGGTTGGAGACTTGATCCATTACTGGATCGTCTCTACAACCTCCTCCATGGGCGACGACGTCGACGCACGAACTACGTCGGAGGCAGCCTGGGTCGACTGGCTAGCCCCTGACGTCTGCCGAGAACTGCGGGGAGGCTTGCAGCCTTTCTGCCCCATCTGGTGATTGGCGGGCTTATTGCCCGCCGCACACGCTGGGCAGTGAGGGGCGGCAGAGCATTCTGCCGCCTTATGCCCCGGTTGACCGCAGCGGAAACACAGTCCGCCGCAGTCAAAACAACTGTCGCACTTGACGCGCGTGTGTCCCGTGGCCAGGCATTTAAAACACCTCATCGGTCTTGCCGCCAGGACTGTGATCCTGGCGCTCACGAAACCGATGAGCAGCCTGCCGGCGTCGGCCAATACTTTGGCCGACGCTACGGGACAGCTGACCCACACGGCGCCAAGCCCTCCTGGACCGGGGCGGATGGTGCCGACCCTGACGTTGTCCGCGCTGCACCCCGTCTTCTCCCGGATTACAGCGCGGACATCTTGGGCCGTCACTGAGTCGTCCAGGCCCGAGATGCGCAGTTCCGCGCACTTGGTAGGCCTGGCGACCCTGACACCATCTGTGGCTGCAAATATTCCCCGCAGCTTCTCAGCGAAGGAGTCCGCCGTCTTTGCGCCTTCAGCCCCAGGGAACTCGAGAACTCGAGCTCCCGTCTGGGCGAGGCGCATCCTGACCCCCACCGTCCCAAACTCGTTGGCGAGGCTGTCCCGGGCCTTTTTGAAGACGGCCGCATAGGACAGCCCGCCGTCAGCCGCCTCCGGGGACACGGTCACAACTACAGCCGCGGTTTTGGGCGGCTGCAGCTTCCGCGGCCTCTTTGCAGAGGCCGTTGCCACCGGTGGCGAAGGCTGGGCTTGGGCTGCTTTTTGGGCAGCCTTTCTGGCCCGCCTTCGGGACTTCTTGGAGCCCCTCGCCTCCTGCCAACCCTCGTTGGAGGGGGCAGGTGCGGAGGGGCCCGGCAGGGGTGTCGGAGTGGGGAGCGGAGGGAATGCCACTCCGCTCCTCGGCGCCGTTTTAGGCCCCGTCTTGGCCGGCGCCTGGGGATGTGCCTTGGCCGGCGCCTTAGCCGGTGCCTTGGCCGGCGCCTGGGCTCCCACTACGGGGAGCGCGGTCGGAGCGGCGGCCTTAGGCCGCTGTGCCGACGCGAGCGGGGGGCGCATAATCGGCGCAGGGGGCAGTCTCGCCTCCAGGCCAGCCAGGCGTCCGTCCAGCATATTCCCAACTGCGATGAGGATTTCTCGCAGTTGGGAGTCAAATGCCCCTGAGTTGGTGGTAGGGGCAGGCTGGGACGCGGACGGGGCTTCCCGCTCGGGGAGGTTCGCCTGGAAGCGGGCGAACTGAGCGCTCAGCTCGTTCACCCGCTCCGTCAGCTTCTCGTTGGCCACCTGCAGGCGAGAGACGTCGCCCGCTAGGCCCTCCACGACCTCCGACAAAGCGGAGGAGGAGTCCTTAAGGGCCCTCACAAACGAGCCCTTAAGGTTCACGGATTTGGTGGCCACCTTGTCGATGACGGCCACCGCCGCTTTCGCCCTCTCCTGCACGGACACGGGAGCCTGGGGGGCATTTCCCCCCACCGGCTCCCGAACCTTGAGCAGGAGATCCGCGATCTCCTCCTCCGCTACGGCCTCGCCGTCCACCCGTACGTTCCTGTACGACTCCGCGTTGTAGAACGCGGAGCCTGACGGGATCGCGACCGAGGCCGGTTTGCGCGCCCTCCCTCGGCGGCTGCTTGCCACCTTTGGTGGCATCATTTCGCCGGACGTGTCGGTTTCCACGTCCCCTGAGCGTCCGCGTTTCCGGCTGTCGCTCCGCTCCGCTTCCATGGCCTCCGCGCCATCCGATGAAGCGGCGGATCCGGAACGCAGCCGATCCGATGCTCTTCGGCTCCCAGAGACCAGCGTCAGACTGACTTCTGGGAGCCCCATCGAGATAGGCGTTCCTGACACCATCTCACCCTCAGTGGACGACCCATCCACTCCACTGTTCCTCTTATCCTTCCTCGTTGCCGTGTCCGTTTGACTTGCCTTTTTTGTTTTAGTTGGTTTTCCGATCGTTTTTCTTGAATTTTGGTTATCATTATCCATAATAAATCCCACGAGTGGGGGAGAACTAAAGGTCCACCCGGGCAGAGATCCCCCATTACCCGGGCAAGCGTAAGTTTTTAACCCAACCGAGGGGTCCGCAGGTACCTCGGCTTGGAGTGCGCTCGCGATTGAACTTCCCATCAGCCATGCATCCCCTGGCCACGCACCAGAACACGGGATTCGGGGAATTTTTTAGAGAGGTTATCTTCCTCGCGGTCCGGGCGGTTAAGCCAAGACCCTCGCCCCCGATCAGAGCCGCGAGACTTAACCACAGCGCTCTTTTCGGGATTACGATATGCCGACGGTTGACAGGGAGACTACGTCCCCCTGCCTGCTCGGTGGTAGTGTGAGTACACGCCGAGCCCGTCCTCCTTTCTCCACCGCTATCAGCGGAGAAACTGTGGCCCCTACAGGGCCCCGCCATCAGGTTTTTTACCGAGGTTTCCTCCTCCATGCTCCGAAGAGCGAAGAGCCAGCAGGGCAACCGGCAGACACGCCCACCCTGCTGGACCAGGCCTTGCCCGAGAGCCGATGAACGGCTGCCTCTTCTGCTAGAATATTGGCCGCTGGCGATAATCCTCTCCTCCAAGAGGACAAGGAGGAAACAGTACCATCGCCAGCGTTTCCAGGGTGCACCACGGGGAGGTTTTCTAGCCTAGCACCCCAAACAAACCCTATACCAACCCATCTAGCTAGCCTGGTATACTCGTATAACCAAATACTATAGTACTTATAGTATGCCAAAACCTTCTTTCTAAGGAGAGGCCTATGTTTAGCCTGTGCACTATTAAAAGCTCTTAATGATGATATGATGATGATCCTAGGAGTACAACATGGTTTAGTTAACAGTTTATTAAAAAGTGTGTAAATACATTTGTGAGTACTGAAACCAAAATACTGTTTTATTTGCCTTACATATATCTTAAGAGTTATTCTTCTACCAGCACTGCAAAGAAAAGGAAATCTTGAAACAAACCCTATACCAACCTATCTGGCCAGTGTGGTATAGTACGCCAAAGAATGCCGTTCTAAAGAGAGGCCTATGTCCAGTCAGTGAACTACTAAAGGCTGTTTATGATGATGATTCTAAGAACTTAACATTGTTTAATAAAATCGCAACAGATCGATTGATGTTAGAGAAAACCACGAGCGGCTTTGTCTGGAGCAATGCTAAGCACAAACTTTCTCTGTTTTTGTAGTAACAACACCTTGCTCTTTAGAAACGTTGATAGTAGAAAGGTTTACGAAGATAACAGTATTGCATACTTATGCTATGTATAAGATTTTAATAGTGTAATACTAAGATCATATCTTATTATGGTACTTCAACTTTAATTTATCCAGGTAGGGTTCTAAAAGATTCTGCGTTAAATTAAACATTATTCCAAAACATAATCTTAATATAATCGGAACGGTACAAAATTAAAGTATAATAGGTATAAACTAAGACAGATAGACAAGATCATGAATAAGAAAGTGGAAACTAAAATTTAAAATAAGGAAATATAAAAGGAAAAGTTCTTAATATTAACTAATTGACAATGAATGAGCTCCATTATTTACGTGTAATGGAGAGACTTCTGTATGAAGTCATCGTTGTTGTCACATACGTCAAAACAAATTCATTTGTTGAGATTTAGTATACATTTTTAGTTATCAGTATTTAAAATGGGTTTATTTGGCAAAACTCCCGAAAAAAATCCAAAAGAAATGGTTAGTATTGTTTCAATTAATGTTTGTTCAATGAAACAATTTATGTTGCCATAAATTCGCCTTAAAATAATTAATGTTACAGGTGAATGAGTGGTCTCATAAACTACGAAAAGAAGGATATAATCTGGACAGGCAAATAAGAGGTACAATGATTTCTATATGGACTTACCATCATTATAATATTTTCAAGTACTAGATGTTAATTATCTATTAAAAGTAATAAATATCAAGGTCATGTAATTTAAAGGTAAATTAAGAGTGAATAACATTGTCTCGTTTTCTGTACATAAGGATTTCAAATATTAAGTATTGTTCCTGTTAAAGACTGCATGTAATTTAATTTGTTGTGATTGCATCAAAAATGTTCTGTGTGGTGACAGATTAAGAATACTGAGAGTCACCACCCTTATTCATCTCGTGGGTATCGTAAGAGCAGACTAAAGGAGCTAACTACGAAGGACAACAACACTGCAAAGAGAAGGAAAACTTGACACAAACCCTATACCAACCCATGTCTAAAACCTCCTTTCTTAGGAGGAGCCTATGTCCAGCACTGCAGTGGACTATTAAAGGTTGCTGATGATTCATCAAAAATGTAATGTATCATCAAAATACAACCGTTTTTTTGTCTCTTGTATTAATAATATATGTACACACCTATTTACTAATGATTAGTGACCAACCAAAGTTAAGGTTTTGGCCAAAAAATCTAGTTTTGGTGTTGAAACTCAGTGTTTGTAAAGTGTTGTGCGTTGTTAAGACAACTAGGTCTAACTCAGGCTCTTGCTCAGTTCACTGCGATGCGCGTGTTCAGTGCGATTATTTTTATGAGGCTTGAGGGCAAGTGACCAGATAGGTTGAATGCTGGTAAGTGAGTACCACCCCCTGGACACCTACAACTTAAGAGTCACCAGTGCATTGCCACCCTTTCAGTAACCTCTTACACTCGGTGAAAGCCAACGAAAGAAGTGCTTAGCACAGGTTTTCTTTAAGGCCTGCAAATCACTGGTCGATAATCATTCCGGTCGAGAGTCACACCAGTGGAGCCTGATCTATATGTGCCGAGGCATTTAATGCATAAATAATTATGTTTGTTTTCTTTTTACTTGTGACTAAGATTTTGTTATCTCAAGTGCGATTATTAGGGATAGAGCTTCATTTGGTTGGTTTTTTTTTATATATTAGTAACACATAAAAGATAATATGTTGGATTCAGATAATACTAAGGCTGTATTACAGAATGTTCCTCAAAATTCAAGAAACGCTTGAGCGTAGTTTTATAAGGCGAAAACTAAGCTCATGGGTTTCTGGAGTTTTGAGCATCACTTTTTAATACAACCTTTAGATTTATTTGATTTTAGATAGTTAATTATTGTTGAATTACATTCTGTACCCTTATTTTACCATTTTTAACCATCCAAAAAAAATACTATGTTTAATCTTCAGTTGCTTAACTTTAACTATGAGAATACGCGTATAGTCCGTTCGTTCGTCGTCTAAGGTTTTTGGTATGTAGGTATAGGGCTAAAACATACACTAGATTTCAATATACAGGCGAAATTTTAAAATGATAGTTTGAGTTTCGGTTTCGGCCGAAACTGAAACAGGGGCCGAAAGTTCAGTTTCGGCTGAAAAACTTGTTTCAGTCGGACACTACAAATTATATTTATCAAAGTATTAGCCTTTGCCTGCCAAGCCAGCAGTCCAGCCTAGGTTTAAGTGTGGAAGTCTGTACATATTTATATTTTTCAGGCATACAACGTGAAGAGGAGAAAATCAAAAGGTCCCTAAAGGAAGCAGCCACCAAGGGTGACAAGCAAGTGTGCACTATTCTAGCTAAAGAGATAATCAGATCAAGAAAGGCAATTAGTAAAATATACACCAGCAAAGCACATCTCAATTCAGTACAACTGCAGATGAAGAATCAATTAGGTATGAGATCACCTATGTAATTTTCAAGAATGTATTTATTTTTAGAGACATCTAGACACTAGTATACACATATGTAGGTGTGCGGTAAGATTACAATACAATCGAGACTCTCCTGTTTTCTGTGCTGAAATCTTGGATACCACCCACTGGTGGGGTGGTTATCTCGGACTCGAACCGACCAAAAACCGCACGCCGTCTCGGGTACCAGTTGCCGGGGAACCAGGTGCACCTGTGAAATAAAATCCTTAGCACAATCGAGACCCACCTGGGCCACCTGATGGAAACATAGATGTTGTAACAGAGCCACTTCAAGGATATGGATAACCTAAAGCCTAATCTTATGCCAATGGAAGATTTGACAATATCTCATCAATACCTACTTGTTATTTATTTACCTACTTAGTGCCATGTATATCTGAACTTTATTACCTATATTTTACCATAAACATTATATATATATGCTGTGAGTGAACCAAATAAATAAATAAATACTTTGTGACCTAACTATTAGATCTTTAACCAGTTAATTTTGTAAAATGCACTGGTCTAAGGAGAGGCCTATACAACGATAGCAATATTATACAGCAGGCTCTTGATAGGATTGATCACTGGTGCATGCAACCATATGAAATTGAATGTTGAGAAATGTTATCATAGATTCACCCGGAAAAAACAATCTCAGGCAGTCTCATATAATATACAAGGTGTCCCTCTAACCACAGTCACTGAGGTGCGAGATCTTGGTGTTATTATGGACAGGAAAATTAACTTTATGTCATATCAACTGCATTATTAAAAAATCGGCACAAATGCTTTCTTAAATGAAACACTAAGGGATTCCAGCAAGTAAGAAATATGCTGTACAATGCATTGGTTCGTAGCAACCTTGAGTTTTCCAGTGTAGTGTGGAACCCACATTACGCAGTCTACTCTGAAAGGATCGGAAGTATTCAGAGAGCATTTACTAAACACCTTGTGTTTACAAAACATGATATCTTCCCGAAATCCCTACAATTTACGTAATCAATGTTACCACATGAACTCTCTACTACTGTTTCTTCTGAACTACTGTTTCTTCACAAACTAGCAAACAACAGACATGACTTAAACAAACTTATCCCACGCATCTCAAAAGCTGTGCCTCATAAAATACCTAGACATCCAATATCTAAACAGTGAAACTGTTTAGTTATTGGATGTTGTTAAGCCCTGTAAAACGAATATAGGAGTAAATTTACAGACACCATGATTCGATAAATTTATTTAGATCCAAGGTCCTAAAGTCACAAAGGGGTAACAAAAGAGGTCCCATAAAATTGTGATGAAATGACTTGTATTACTGTTCCTAGACAACAATATTAAAATTAATTAAACAATAGGTATACTATTGTTTTTGCTATCACTTAGTTTTGTTCTCATTATTTGTAGTTGCAGTTATGTATCTAGTTAAGATATTATAAACTACGATTAGTATATATAGCGATCTAGCGAATGCTGGCTAGCCCGTAATTGGCAGGTGTGTAAGGCGTTATCTCTATTGTACACTTAATATTATGTATTTTGTATACACGAGCTGTGGGAAACCTTTTAAATAAAAAAATTTAAAAAAACTTGCTTGTCTGGGTTCGACCTTAATGTGTCAATAGGTAAAGAAAGACTGGTTTTGTGACATTAGAAAAAATACACTATAGTTTAGAAAAGTATTATGTAAAACAGTTCTACTGTAGATTTTCTGGCTCCAGAGCTTGGCCATCTCTTGATGCAATCTTGATTGAGTCTTAAAATGTTATTATGTGATGATATTATAACTCTTAAGGTAAAAGAAGTATTAATCAGTCAATTTCTCATTAAACTTTCTTTGTTTTCAGCTACTCTAAGAGTTGCTGGGTCACTGCAGAAATCAACTGAGGTATGTGTTATTGAGAGTTATTCTGAGTTTACTTTTCTAGCTCTGAAATTTTGTACAAATTCCTTTAACACTAACTTTCAAAGTATAGTGTCACAGGAAAATACCGTATGGCACAAAATATTAAAAAAATAACTGATTGTAAAATTTTACTTGAAAATACGAAAAAACCTATAAGAAGTTTTAACTTCCTTGGTAGCATAAGCTGTGCTTAGGTCTTGGGTTCGATTCCCAGGTAGGACCAAATGTTTGTATGATCTGCAAATATTTGTTTCAGAGTTTGTGTGTTTCCTATGTAACTATTTATAATATGTATTTACAAAAAAGTATAAGTTGAAGATGCCGTTGTTAGCCTATTCTGTAGAGTTCTATACAGAGTATTCTGAAATCTACAGTAAATCCCTTTACTAGCATATATGGCTAATGATATTAGAGGAACTGTACTTATCCATGGAATTGCAAATGCTTTGTTTCACAGGTAATGCAAGCAATGCAGGCGTTGATACGCTTACCCGAAGTGGCACAAACCATGCAGGAATTAAGCAAGGAGATGATGCGAGCTGGCATCATTGAGGAAATGTTGGATGATACCATGTCTTCTATGGAAGATGAGGAGGAAATGGAGGAAGCAGCGCAAACTGAAGTTGATAAGGTATAATATTTTTCTGATATTTTTGGTTAAAAAAAACAAAATGACTCCAAATACAATTAAAATCTGTATGTAAGTCAGGTAACCTTTTAGATCAATATCATTTGCTGATCAATGTCATTGTCATGAGTCTTTAAGGGGGGGGTAAGGTCAAATCATACGAAAAAAGCCATGTTTTCGTGATTTTTTTTCTGACGACGCAGTTAAAATTTCTTAACTCAACCAATGGTACATTGAAGTATGACATTCGAAGAATGTTTCATCAAATTTGTACAAAGAAATATTAAAAAATACGGCAATGGCAGCAATTGTTCGGACGTGTCTCGAAAAAAAGTTGAATTGCGGTGCCCCTCATAACTTGGTGCTGGATCATCTGAAATCAAAAAATCAAAGTTCATTCGTTAGATAATAGTTTTCCCCAGGTAACTAACTTTTCTATTTTTTTTCATTTTTTCGAACACTTTGAAGTGAAAAACACCATTTTTTTGGGAAAAAGTCGGCTAATTTGTTATTGCGAAATCAAAATTATGAACAAAAGAAAAAAAAACTCGACAGCGTTACCTCGTAAATGATGTATAGAAATAGTGTTTAAAATTTCAAAAGGATCGGTGCAGTAGTTTTGAAGTTATCAGGGGCACCGACTTTGAAAACGTGACTTGTGGGAAAAATGCTTTAAAGTTTTAAACACAAAAAAATCCAGTTAAAACGTTTATAAGCGAATTTTATCGACATACCTCACACTGAGTCATCAATGCCAGGTCCATAGAGGATGTTGCTATCATCGATGATGTCTAATGCATCTTTTTGCTCCTTCCTACGACGAATCCTGACTTCTTTGGTTTGTCGTTCAGCTTCCTGCTCTGCTCGGCTTATGCGTGTGGATCGCGCCCAGTCATGAGCGCTTGGTCCACTACTTTTCATGTCTACCATGAAGGTGAGTAAAGCAAACGAACCTTCATTGAAGACACTGGCTCCCACATAAGCTGCAATTTCAACGACGACAGAGGTTCCACTCAAGTGCTTCGGTGAGATTTTCCAAATAAGTTGGTTCAAACTCTCATTGTTGTTCTGCGTGAAGCCTCCAACACATCGCTCCAGGAGGGATCTTTGCTCAGATCAACGGTCATTTTTATTTTTTTAGCTGACGCGCTTCTTGTCGTAATGTCTTGCTTTTCCGTTTGTGGGGAGGTAAAATTTTTTTGGGTCGATGTAATCTCGAACTAGCTGATTGTCAATTAGATCTTCGAATTTTTTTTTGCATTTTTGTAATAATTTAACAACAAAAATTAATGAAAATGGAGCTGAATTTATGCGAAAATAAGAACGCGTGGATACGTCTGCTCGATAGGATATTTCCTGCTGACTGAATTTTGTACGCCACACTGACAAAGTATACAGACCAGGTATAAACACGTATGTCCTTGCCTTGAAATTTCGATAGATGGCACTGGGAGGTAAGGTACTACGAGTATATAGAGAGCGAAACATCTGCCGGGTAACAATAGCGCGCTCGGGTCGGTTCGGGTATAGGTACAAAAATCCGGCAGGTATAAAAATACTCATAACTTCGTCAATTTTGCTGCAATTGACTTGAAATTTTGACACAATATTCTTCAGATATTACGGGTTCAATTTCAAAACTAAAAAAAAATTCAAAAAAAAAAAATTAAATACCTTACCCCCCCCCTTAAAATAATTATTATAACTATGTAATTACATATATTAAATATTTCTATTTGTTAAATATCAGCAGAAAATGATTTTATTATTTTTTAATTTTATAGTATTTCTTTTCAGGTACTATGGGAACTAACGCAAGGCAAACTGGGTGAGGCTCCTGCGCCACCCACCGCAGTTGGAGCACCTTCTACGAGCAAAGAGGAAGAACCTGTCACCGAACCGAATGAAAGCGAACTAGACGAGATGCAGTCTAGATTGGAGGCGCTTAGATCCTAATGGATAGAACGTAAGGAATATCAGTACAGATAGAAATTTATTGCAGTCAGATCGTTATCAGTGTTTACCATTATTCATCATCATCATCATCAACAGCCTTTACTAGTCCACTGCTGGACCATTATTAGTATTTAATAACTCAGGGAATTACTTAATAGTAATATTACCCTTAACGTAACTGTTTGGTTTTCTAAAAGCTCATTTTAAGACATTTAGAAAAATATGCCTATAAAATAATCTAGACATTATGAGACATTAAAAATGCTAAGCGTACTTTTGTAAATTAAATATTGGTGGGCAATAACAAGAATTATGTTCTATGGTACATAGTGATGGCGAAAGAAATATTCCTACAATTTTTCAAATTAATATTAAAGAAAAGTTGTATGTAGAGGAATGATCAAATAAAAGATGGGAACTCTCGATTTGTTACTTTAGGCCACAGCCAACATTAATAAGAATTTCTCATTTATGTATAAATGTAATATAATACTCTTAAAACGTAAGAATTTATAAAACGAGTTTAATATTTTTTTAATCGTATAAAACATTATAAATAAAATCTATTATAACAAAAAATACTACGTTTATACACTAGTATATAAAATAGTTGTTTACAATGTATATAACTAAAAACATTTAATAATATTTTTAATATGCTTTGTTCCTTGCAGATGTCCTGTTCGAGTCAGAGATCTTAAACGATTTTCATGTTGATATGGAGTTAGACGAAATGCCTTAAGAATAATGTAAATAATAACTTTATTGTTGTTGTGCAATTGCGTAATTAGGGTGCAGTTGTAATATGTTTCAATGGAAATGTCATATTAAAACAATTAAAAGCAGTTGGCAGGCAATCTTGAGCTACCAACGGTAAGATACTTTGTAAGATTGTATGGAAAAGAGTTTGGAAAAGTCTTTGAAAGTGTCTTCTGTTTGGCATTAGGTTTTATTTATTCATTGTTTATATTGAGTCTAATTCCATCCATATATAACAGTGAGTCATTATGATGATAACCTGCCTTCGTGCAACACAAAAAAACTCCAACGGCAAGTATATATAGATTTTAAATAAATTTAAAAAGAAATGTGATCTAAATACCCATGTTTTCTTCCTAAACAAAGCCTCATCTGTATTTTAGAAGATGTATAACTGGTTATACAGAAACATTGCGGCTCTAAAAGTGGTATTTTTACATAAATACTCTTCTAAATTTCGAGAGAACTTCTAACTTTCTTTGTGAAATACAGAATCAGTTCGGGTTAGTTGAGAGGTGTTCAGTTCCAAAATATTTTTTCACATCTACAATACCCACCTTCATTATCTAAAGCGTATTGTCTCCGTAAGCAGTCAGAAGAAAGTCTGCTCCATATGTATTCAAGGATTATGCCTTAACATGTATTACCTTTTAATTATTTATTCTATATACTAATTAAATTTATAACAAGCTATGTATAATTTGCACTTTTACTTACGTGTGCAAAACTCGCCCTGTCGGAACGGAACTTATTAAAACCACATAGTGTTCTATGGGTCTTTATGGCTCTAATCTTAAGGAGAACTGCCTGAATCCTGACCACAGGTTGTTCCGATAGAGGCGCGCGTGGGAATCGTCGCGCCATCGTGTCGAGGTGTACACACCGCAAACAGAATACCTCGTCAGGTGTGCATGTATGTGTTATTCCGGCAATTATATATTATACGTGTACACGTGTGTAATTTGTAAATTACTCGTTTCTTCACTTATACATTTGCAAATTAATAATGTTTTAAAACCATGTGTGTTTAAAATTTTTCTGGTAGTAGAAAAACTCATTAAAATCAATCGTCTATGGGAGAGCCATGCTTCGGCACAAATCAAATAGGCCTCACAGAAAACCGGTATTAAACAGTTTTTTCGTTGCTTTTCACAGAGTGAGTGTGGTTAAAAAAGACCCAACTCCTCCAACTCTGATTATGGCGATTTAAAGGGCGGCGACGGTAGTCTCTTAACCTCAGGTCATCCGCCTGCTGTTTTGCCCCCTATATCATAAAAAACGGGACTTCGTACTACTGACCAGGTATTTCGTTTGCCGAGTGTATAATGTACACAGATATTTTTTATTTGTATTTTCTGTATGTATCGAAACAAACCTGACATTAGGACTATATGCAAATGTATATACTCATTTTTTTATAACTTATGCATTTTACAATAAGTAGGTTTTAGAGTCGATTTTGACTAAGATGGTCTCTGTAAACTGAGAATTTTATTTAAAAAAATATCTATATTTGCGTCTTGTATGCATCACTAATGTTGTAAGTTCAGGATTGTGATATATTTTATTTATAGCTCTTAAATGCTAGTGTTGTAAAGCTGTACGCTTTTATCGAAGATTTTTATGTCTACTATAGTTAATAATTAAAATGCACTAACTATATTCTGTAGTTTCACTATTTACTATAGAGTCCATTCGCGTTAAGAAAATAGTGACGCGTTGATCAAGCCCCCTAACCAATAAGGTTGTAAGAAACTATCGTTTCTTTGGAATCTTATTAGCCAGGGTGCGGCTTGATCGATGCGGAGAACTATTGAAATAAATAACAGAAAAATGTTTATAATATTCATGAAATTGGCTTTATTTGAGAGATGATTTTATGGCATTATTGTTTGAATATAATTTCGGGAATCTTTCGTCAAACGTTTCTTTCAGTAAATTAATATTTAGGATTATCATCGCTCCAAATGTGGTAATTCTGTTCATTGACATAGCCATTCAACCAAAAGTGTTCTCCATCACTGAACAAAATATTCAATTTAAATTGTGGATCAATAGCAATGTTTCCTTCAACCCATTCACTAAATGTGCGGCGCAAACGATGATCGCGTGGCTTCAATTCCTGCGCAAGTTAAATCTTGTAAGCACGTAATCCCAGATCTTTACGCAAAATTTTCCCTAAGTAGATGGACACAAGTGTAATTGACGAATCGACACATTTGGATCATCATCAACACTGCGCTGCTATCAATCGCTAGTTGTGTGCGCACTCTACGACGTCTAACTGGATGCGTATTATTGTTTAAACGAATTATGAGCACCATAAAATGCACGTAATGCTCAAGGAGTTTCTCGAACCGTACCGTGTTTTTAAAAAAAATAATTGAACAATTTGCAAGCGTTGCTCCGGCGTGAGTCTATCCATGATGAACTGCCAAACCAAACTAACCTCAAATTAACGTCAAATAGGCTGTCACAGAAAACAGTGTTGCCAATTTAAAGTTCTCCGCCTCTAAAGAAAAGACCCGTTACTAGGAAAAATACTATCAGTCAGAGGCAAACCCGCAAATATAGTTATCTCTTGTTTTTACAGTTGACTGATGCTGATTTTTTTAACCTTCTTTAATATGACCACATTTTTAGAAGGCACTGTATGAGTACAGATTAGTTTTGTAGTAAGGTAAGGTATTTAATATTAAACAAATGAAGAAGAATAGTTAATAAATATATGTATAGTATTAAGTTTGTGTGTATATATCACAGAGTGTCACAGCATCTTCGAGGATAGTTCCAGCTCTAACTGCATATCCTGTATGGATTTCTTTTTCAACAGCGGCAAGCGATCTACCTCCTTTGTCTTTTTTGTATTTTTCTTCTTTGTTAATCTGTAAAAAAAAGGCCACTTTTACTATATCTATCTATAGTTTTATTTCTACAGGACAGACTATATAACTACTTATGCTACTCATATATTAATAGTATCGAACATAAATTACTTCCAAAATACATTGTAATACTTCTATGTTGTCAATACAGATAGCTAGCTGTAAATACTAAATTGTACCACCATCACCATTTAGTAAACTACAAATTCCTCAACTAGCAAAAACAATTAAAAATACACTCGTATTCACGTTTCCTGACACAATGCTTACCAAATAAACAAGTCCTCAACTAATCAATCATTCATTTATTGTAAGTGGCAATCGTTTACGGACCATCTTACATTAGTAGCCACTTTATTCCCGTTCACGTCGTTAGATTTTTGAGATGGGTTAAGCTATTGCAAACAATTATAAAAACGACTAATTCTTACCTATTCCCGGACCTATAAAGCGTGAGTTTATATTTGTATGCAAAAACTGACAAGCTATCCTAAAACGATATATGTTGAGTAAGCTTACTAGGTTATTACTTGGTTTTACCATATATTTACTTTATCACATAGTTCAGAGAGTACATATTTACTAGGCTTTCACGAATCAGCCTTCTTTAACGGGTGGGGTCATAAACTGGGGTGTCGGTGAGAATGGTGGAGATGGATATAAGCCAGGATAGTATTCAGCCGTAAACTCATGACTAAAACGATATCTTTCTAGAACTTAGTATGTTAAAGAAAGATAACTTTATACCGTGACACAGAACACTAAGGTTGAATTTTATTAAACAATGTGTTTGTGTGTTTTTTTTACTATAATTTATATTAAATTAAATAACAAATATTTCTGATGGTGGGCGATAATGTTTACAATGCTGTAGATATTATCGCGCACATTTAATCTAAACCTTATTTTCCAATAAAGATATTCGACTTGATCTGAAATGTGGATCGCTTGATATGCGTGTACATCGTTTGTTCACGGGCCTTCTTCTTCTGCATCATCTTATTGCACCTCAATCTAGGAATTTATATGTTTATTGGCGACTCGAAATTTAAGCCCCCACTATCATAATATATACTTTCTTTCGAGTCAAACTGTAAATTGTAGGTTGAATTTTAGACATGGGAGGGTAAGGAAAACAATATTTTTGTACTATGTAAATTGCTACCGACATATCGTTTTTTTTTACTTACTAAATAACGTCTGCAACACAATCATATTTGACTTATCGAAAGGAAGTAACATAATTTGATAATTGTGTCCTAATTTATTGTGAAAGAAATAAAAACTCCACAATGTTCTAATGAGAGTAAAGTGAAGTAATCTATTAATGAGCAGTAAACCAGCGTGATAGAGTGAGACTCAGGCTTTCTCATGCCGTGGAAGTTCAACAATACATCAGTTTTATAAAGGCATTAACGTCAACTTACCTATTAGTGACTCCATCGGCAGAGTCCATCATGCGTATGATGTCAGCCTGGTCGGACGAGTCGAGCGGCGCCACAGAAATATCTCGAACAGCTCGGAACTTGCCGCAGTTGTTCAAGTGTTCGTTCTCCAGCCGGAAGAAGTTCCAGATGAAACGTCTGCAACAAAAAAAACCAATATAATAATAATAATAAAACCTGACATCTCACACACGGCCTGCTCATCCTAAACTAGACAGTGCCTCTGCTATGGTAAATAGACTGCTGATAAACATACTTATAAATTTCTAAATACATACATATTTTACATAAATTACACCCAAGAACAAACGATCGTGCTCATCACACAATTGTATGTCCTGGGTGGGAATCGAACCCACGATCTCGGCTTAGCAGTCAAGGTGACTAACCATCTATGCTAGAGCATGCAGACGCAGACTTGACAAAAGCACGAAACACTTTCAATAACACGACATTCAGGAATGAAAGAAAGAACATAAGAATGAGCATCCGATTATTACCTGAAGACTTCCAAAGGAGCTAGTATTGATGTCATCGTTTCCACACTTGCTATATTGTGTTCAGTCAGCACATATGATACTATCCAAATAAAACGCAGCACGAAGTCTTCTACAATCGCGAAATAGTAAAACTGCAAAGAGAAATTTTACATTTATAATTTTGTCGTACGTTTGTTTAATGATTTTCTAAAGGTTAAATAGAAAAAAGGCGTGTTTTGATTCGCTGAAGTATATAATCAATGTCTGAACAAAAGCGGTAACATTTCGTGTGAGGAAATTGATCTCGGTCAAAGCTTCAGTTCTGAATAAGAAGTCTGTAAATTACACAGTTTTTGAACTGGATTACATTTAAGACGCTTTATTTTTTTCACTTGTAACTAACTGACTACGTCAACAATCTTTGAAAGTGAAGTTAAACATACTTTTAATTGTAATAAAAAAACTTTGTAATCTTTAAATATTATAAAATAAAGTCGATTTTTTGTGTTGTACGCTTAGATCTTTTAAACTAAGCAACGTATTTTAATGCGGTTTTTACCAATAGAGCGAGTGATTCAAGAGGAAGGTTTGTATGTATAATAAATGCATATTATAGTAGAGAAAATCCGAGAATTTCAAAGATTTGTCGAAAAAAACATGTTTTTGTGCGCTTACATTGCAAACGCAACCTTACGAGAGATAGACCAAAATAATTTACAACGGAATTGTATATCTTAAAAAGATCTACAAAAAAAACAGTCCTAGAGGGTATATGTCTATCTCCTAAAGATAACCCACAGTAACCAGTCCGTGTGGTGACGGATTAAGAATACAAATTTTCACTACCCCAATTCATCCCGTGGGTGTCGTAAGAGCCGATTAAGAGAGCAAACTAAGCAGGACAACAGCACTGCAAAGAGAAGGAAAACTTGAAACAAACCCTATACCAACCCGTATGGCCAGTGTCCAGCAGTGGACTAGTAAAGGCTGTTGATGATTGATGAACCATTTTTTTGGAGCTGATCTGTTGATTTAGCCTAAAGATGGATCGTTTGTCTTTTTAATTCAGTTCGTCTTTATTTTTTCATTTATATTACTAGACTATCAAACATGGGTGAGATGGTGCTCTTTGGAAGAGGCCATCGTTCAGCAATGGATGGCATTAGGCTGCAGTAAGTAATTAAAACTATAATTATTACATCATAAAAACACATCAGCGATAAAAATGTTAATCAGTTTAATGTAAAACAACTCACCCCAGGACTATACACAATCTCCTCCCTTAGGAACTTGTTTTCAGCATTAGGACCACAGCTGAAGAGACCCCAATCCATCTTAACATCCCAGGTGTAAGTGTACATCGAAGATATTAGTTGACACACAAACCAAGCGTACAAGAACGGATTTTCATAAGGATCCTTATATCCACCTGGAATATTATATACATAAGTTTTATTTGCTGTTGCTCGCAGTTTTACAAAGTTTAAACAAAGACAATCTACATTTCTTAGAAAATACTTGCATTTTAAAATTGATACAGATTAAACTAATAATCTATGCTAGAATTAATTATCTTGCCACTAACATTGACAGGACTTAAACCACAGATTTATCTAAGAATTACATTTTCTAAATTAGTAATAATCCTAGTTTTACAGTTTGATAAGACTAGATTAGTACTGTGATAACGGCTATTATATTTATACTACAGAAGAGAAGGGTACTGCCCACCTGGTGGCATGTGATATTTGAAGGTTATTGGCCCATCGGCCGTTAAGGGTATTACTTGTGAATGGCTGAACTCGTAAGGGCCTAGAAAAAGGACGATAGATAAGATAGTCGTGGTAGTACAGGACCTTTTTAGGTTAATCTGCAGTAACGTCGCTCTTACTTCAGGCATATAATAAAAATAAAGTAATTGAGTTTGTATGTGTCATAATCTTCTATGGCAGCTAATTGTCTAAGACATAGCGAAATCAATAGACACTTATGGATAAAATCAGTTTACAGTCCTCATCAAATTGAGTGTGTTTTCATTTAACTGTCAACCTAACATATAGAACAAATTATTTGACAATAGCACTTTGTGACGTCATAAGTTGTTATTTCACACAATTTTCTGCTGTAAGTGTAATTTTACAATCATCTGCTATATTATGGTGAGAATTTGGGGTATTATAACCTGCTTTGTTTATACAGTGGTGAACAGAGGTGTCAGAGGGTAGTGATACCAAATAACGAATCAAACCCATCACCTGACGATCGCATGCAATAACTAAACTAAGTGCATATGCAATGCAGGGGGTTATCGAAGAAGGCGTGGCGTCGATTCCATTCGAGGAGGACCTGAAATGACATGGTCCGGGGTTTCCCCAAAGCAGGCGCCTGAAGCCGGCTGTAGGGGTGTTTTTTATTTCAAATACCACATACTCCAAGGAGCCGGAGATACTATCATAAAGAAAATCACGCACATTCCAGAAGGTTCGATTGGCCGCGTAATTCCGGTAACCGTTTATGGTGCGGGTTGGCATGGAACAATAAGGTTTTTACCAATACGCATAAGATCGAAAATAGACTGTCGCGCGATTATCTTGTTAACAAAAACGAATTTACATTTCTTAGAAGCGAACGGTTCTCGTAGGATGATCTTTTACGAGAATTATAAATACGGACACGTCTTCTAGGGAGTTAGTTCAAGCTACAGTGCGATAAATATCGAAGCGATAGAAGTGAATTGAAGTATGACCCAGCGAACTCGGCGATCATTCCGACTATTCTTGAGTATTGTGTGAACGTTTTTAAGTGTAGTGATAATAAAGTCTCTTTAGTCGTCAGAAGGCGTACTATTCCAAATCCATGAACCCTAACATGTAACAATACGAAGGGATTTTCCATCCCATCAACAAAAAGGGAGTCATCGAGCCGCTAAGCCTTTCTTAGATTTTTTAATAGGTTACGCAAGTCAAACAAGTATTATATATTATAACTAAACCGCAAAACTATAGATTAGGTATTTATTAATCTATATATATGTTTGAGCTTAAAATTTGACATGATATATAACAGGGGAGAATGGGCGGGCCTATTGATCTAGTGGTTAGTGACTCAGACTGCTGAACCGGAGGCCATGGGTTCGATTCCCACCCAGGACAAAAATTATTTGATGAGCATCATCATTTGTTTTGTATCTGGGTGTAATTTATTTATAATATGAATGTATTTAGAAATATATCAGCAGCCCGGTTACCATAGTACAGGCTCTGTCTAGTTTGGAATCAGACGGCCGTGTGTGAAATGTGTCCAGTTATTATTATTAACCAGTTTCGAAGATGGTTTTTATCTGTTTTTGTGTCAGTTTTGTTACTCATTCCTCATCAATGCAACCAGAATATGCCACAGCGAAGCGTAGCAGGGTACAGCTGGTAGGAAATAAATTGATGTGTGTGTTATCAAACTGAATACTTTTTAGGAATTTTCCCAATTGTCGCCTTTAAGAAGTAATAGTAAAGGAAAGAAAAAGGGTCTTAGCTAGAAGAGAAATGTCTTATCACACAAATACATACGCTGAATCGTGAACACTGTACGTAAGGTCGCAAATAGAACGACAAAGAATGTCGTCGAGTACTTTCCGGCGTTGACCAGATGTGGGAACGCCTCTCGGCTGTCTCTGTACCGTCGTAGGCATTGGAAGAAACGTGTCCACGCCGGGATTATGTTCACTAAAGCCCGGCTAATTATGAACCAGTTGGCTGTCTCGAATTTATCTGTGAATGAAAACGTCAGAGATAAAACAAAAACATTTATTGAAGGTGGAGTAGGTATTTTTTATTGTATAGGAATATAATAGAAATTTAATATCTGCTCTAATATTATGATTCTTAACCCAGATAAGCCTACTGTCCCATAGGTAGGACGGTAGAAATAAAAAATATTTCAACTTACGCACATATTAACAGAATATATTTAATGGATTTGTAGTGACAAGCTAATGTGCTATTGAAATAAAAATTAAAAAAGTGCAGTTATAATATATTATCCATTTTATAAATATTTCATTTAAAAGTATATCTAAAAGTGCAGACATAGGGGACAGTAGGCTTATCTGGGTTAAAGCCAGGAACAAAAATAAGAGATAATAATTACTATAAAGTCCTCAAATATCAAATCAAAATCTTATATATCAATAGAATAAAGGGTTCAAATAATTTTCTCGCAGTTTTTTCAACTTTATTCTATCATGGGGACAATAAGAATTATGAAATTAAGTTCATAATATTTAGACCGTTAGCTACCGTACCAATCTATACCAAGATTATCTGGTATGGATCGTCTTTAGTGATGAGATATGTACTATTTTAATAATAAACGATACATATTCTATTCGGTTCAAATATTTAGATATGACTGAAGAACATTGTCCGTGTGGCGACGGATTAAGAATACAGAGTGTCACCACCCCTATTCCTCCCGTGGGTGTCGTAAGAGCCGACTCAGGGAAGAAACTACGCAGAACAACAGCACTGCAGAGAGAAGGAAAACTTGACACAAACCCTATACCAACCCGTCTGGCCAGCGTGGTATAGTAGGCCAAAACCTCCTTTCTAAGGAGAGGCTTTTGTCCAGCAGTGGACTACTAAAGGCTGTTGATGTGATGTGATGTGAAGAACATTAAATGGCAGAAGTGTTCTTCTAAACTCACTCAACTGCCTTTGTTCATACAAAAAATACAAGCACATACTATCGACAACAAGCCAATCGGTCCCGACGACATAGAACGCTATGAGGTAATGGAAATCGATAAAGCCGGCCGCGAAAGAGTTCCACTGATCAGCCAGCCAGAAGTCAGCAAACAACACCGGCATAAACGGTGCAGCTAGGATGCGACCCTAAAATAAAAATAAAAAAACGTATATTTAATAAATACTTGATGAAAAAGAGAAAAGTTTGAATTAAACATGTCCTCGGTAGACTTTTCATACAATATTATATATACTCGTACTATACATACATTCAATATATTACAAATGATAAAAAAATATTCTGATTTTCATCTATCGATCGTCATTTTATGTTGGCCATTTCAAGGCGATTGCGTAAAATATACGTTAACGTTCAATTGACACCTCGTTCTTTAAAAGCAATTCATAACCTCGCTTAAGGAGTGAAGTGGACAGTGAGGATTATTGCATTTTTTTTCTATTCTGTCGTTAAATTGACGTTTAAACCATAAAAGACTATATTAATAATAGACTATATTATAAAAAAAAAACAGCTCTTTAACAAGCTAATCTCAGCCTACCTACTTGAAATTTACAAAGCGGTAATTTCAATTTTTATAATTTTCATATACCTAGTCACTATAACAATTAAGACAAATCTAACGACACTTCCAAAGCCAAAATCCATGAACCCGTTTAGACTACGGAGCGTGCCAAAGAAATATACATACCTATATTCGAAAGACAACGAACAACCTTCCTAGCGCAGTCGTGTAAAAAAAGCAGAAGCAACTTGGTAATGCGTATAAATCATTGTATTTGTAGCGTTCACTACGTTTTGTCATTATTAGGAATACTTTTCATTATTTCATCTACTACTAGCGTTTTGATATATAGTGAGACTGACTGTCACTAACATTTAATCACAATTCACGATGAGCTAAGATAGGCTAAGCTAGGATACACAAAAATCTTCTCTTGTTAAAATTGGGTTAAGGTCTGTAGGGCGATGAGTATAAAGATGTTTTTGTAAGGTATACGGGTATACGGGATAAACGAGCAGACGGGTCACCTGATAGCAAGTCACTACCGCCGCCCATGGACACCTGCAACTCTAAGAGTCACAAATATGTGGTCGGTCTTTGAGTGTCCCTCATGGAATAAGTGGAGGTGAGGAGCGGTGGTCCTTTAGTAAACTCCCTCACTCAGGGAAATGCAACCGAGCATGAAATGCAACTGAAGAATTGCTTCCCATGTGTGCTAAAGCATGTCAATTTTATACGTAATTGTATACGTATTTGATATATTACCATTACAAGCAACTGATTTCAAATAATATAAAAACGTTATTGTAATCTTATCTGTCCACTTGAAAACACTTTATAATCTCTTAGTGCTTGTATTTTTGTTTAAACCTCGATTATCTCTGCAACTACCGACTAATCGGATACGAATAATCTTCATATGAGGATTTATTGAGAAAGGCAATGGTTACTTCACGCCATGACTCTTAAGAATGGATCAGCGATCACCTAGTTCTATTTTTTATTATTAAAGATCTTCGATCGTCTTGTCCATCAGTATGTTGGTTCGCTATTAGTTCTTACTCTCTTCCTACTTTTTTCATACTTTATTAAAATTATTTAACCCGTACAGCATTCTATCAATATTTATTTTTTAATTATCAGCGACTAGAATAGGGTGGCCGGTAGGTTTATGCATTTTTATTGATACTATTTCTAAAAGCTTGGATCACTCCAGTGGATTAAAAAATGTAAAAGAAGACCACACGGATTATTGCTGTCTCATAATGAAAGATGTTACAATGACTACAAGTACCTTTGAACAGATGAACGACTGGCATTTGGAATAAGCAATTGAGCCGGCAAAACTGTTAAACCTATATAACCTCCGAGTCTAGTTAGACTCTAGTCTTTTTGTTGCAATCGCTTCCATATTAGTTTCAATTTTCTAATCTTATTTAATTCACACTATACTTTATAATAACTCTTAAAATAAATAAAAATTTGGGCATGTCTTGTAATGTTGCCTAACAGTATGTAAAACAAGTAAAAAAAAACCCTTCGGACGCCTACGAAACCAAGTTTCGAAATTTCGATAAAAGTATAATGTTTCTACTTGCGAAACTCGTAAAAAAATCTCTTGTGATGGACAGGAAACAATTTACTCTCCACTTCCACACGATAAAAACGATATTAAAGGAAAGGCATGGGTAGTGTGTATATATGTGTTATTCTTTTGAGACCGCTAGTCTAATGTGTCGTTTTGATTTTATTTACAAGTCTCGAAAGAAGGAACGTTATTTTTTATCGAAACGAGTTTCGAAATAAGAGATATTATTCTTTTTTATCTTGGTTTTGTAGGCCGCTGAAGGGGAAAAAATTAGTTTCATTTGAAAGAAAAGAATACTCACACATATCCTTAGAAACCAAAACCTTGCTTCGTGTCTGAACACCTTGAGTGGATTCACGAGAAAGGCCAACATTATTAATACCAGCGCTAACGGATTTACATACGGCGGTATACTCAAACTCGCACTGTATACAAAGCTTAATATACTAAGAGCCCAAACGACCCCAAAAATGGCCGCAAGTTCCATTAAATCTTGTTCCGATAGATGATTTCTGGGGTCTAATTCAAAGATAAGCACGTGATTGACCCCTGAAGATCTCCATCCATACACGTTGATTCCGATTAAAAATATAAATTCAACTAATAGGAATGGGCCTCTGTACAGTCTGAAGGCTGTTTTGAAGTACTCGATGCCGTTTTCATGGAATAATACTGCAAAGAAACATTAAATATTACTTAACATGCTAACTAAATAGCTTTGCGAAGGATGGGTACAGTTTGAATGTACAGTATAAATACAGTCTAAAAGTCCATTATAACAATAATAGAAGTGTAATGTTGCATTACTGACTACAAGCAGGATTAAAAGACTGCGCTAATCGGCTAATAGTAAAATTATTTGCTCGCTGCAGAATGAGTCATCATATAAATCACCAAAGCTTAATGTTGAGACATAACCGGCGCGGGCGCAGAAGCAATCGCGCTATCGGAAATCAAAGAGGAAAAAGACGACGAATTTCGTAGAATTCATCAATTGAAACAGAGTTTGATTTATTTATTTGTTGTTATAGCGTAATCGTATTTTCATTGTATGTATTTTGGTTTTGGTGAGAAAATAAACGATATTATATTATTATTATTATTTAGCAAATTTCAGTGACGGTCATAATGTCAAGGTCATATTGTCATGTAATGACCAAGTCTGCAGCAAGTAAATATTTTTGCTATAGTAGAAAACTCCCTAAATGTTCGTCTAAGGGATAAAATTGTTTTTGCACATGTTTATTTATAGACTAAGCAATCAGGGATATTTTTTCTGACTTTAATTGTGTAATAAAATTACGATCGAAGGGACGCCGTAACATTTCATGCTTGAATAAAGCTTATGAGCGTGTAAAATGTTAAAAATATAATTTGCTTTGTTTTTATTTATGATTTATTAGTGTGGAAGAACGAGCTTGGTTTTGAACAATAAAAACGGAAATTGTTACTAGGTGTACATGCCTAGACCATGCCGCGGCAGAACTGTTGATATTTGAAAGTTGTGTATTCAATCGACGACTGAACTCTTATTGTGCGATACACATTATAACGTAGTTCAGTTTATTTTCGGAAAATGGCGTCAAAGTATGTATTGTTACATATACTTATTACGGAATAACACCGTCCGTTTATACAGAATTAGTATTAAAATCTACCAAGACTTAATAAACGACTTTTATTTACAACATTTTTACAGATCGAATCCAATCATTTGACACGACAGTCTAAAATTCGATCAGAATGAATAGCTACACTTAATTGATTACTATTTAAAACGTGCTACTATCAAGGTCAGAGTATTTCGAGGTGTTTGCAAACAAATGATAATAAACAATGTTTAAAATAAACATAATGATTGCTTATTCAAACGGTCATTGTTATGAATGGCGAAACGCATATAGTAGCCAACCTATTATTATCAGACAGACGTCAAATAATATACAGATACAGACGAAAATAAATAAGTTGTAAACGTTGTTTACGCTACGCTACGGATAGAATCGCTTGATTTTAATGTTTTTTGATGCTTTCTTCTCGCTTTCCTAAAATCTGTGAGATACTTAGATACTAATATATAATATATTCTACCACATTCACACAACGCCATCTAGTCCCAAACTAAGCAGAGCTTCTAATATCGGTACTAGACAACTGATAGAAATACATGTATACTTTTTTGTAAATACATACATATAGAAACACCGAGACCAAATCAATCATTAATGTTCATGCACACAAAAGATTCGACTTGAGCGGGAATCGAATCCGCGACCACTAGCCACCCGGCCGACAACGATAATAAGGGGTGATAGTGTGTTACAGGAATCCGGGGAAGCTCAAGCGTTGCTAGACGTCAGATGGGGCTCTGATATTTCACTCACTCACTCGGTGAAAAGCGATAAATGAATTAACTCTTAACGCCGGTTTTCTGTAAGGCCGTGGTATCCGCCGAGCCGGCCCACGCATAGCTTTCCCACGGTTTATATTATAGACTGACTGAGAGAAAAAATAGCCTAAGTTACTCCTTATATAGACAGCTACCTGGTAGTAAAATATTATCGTAATCGGTCCAGCCGTTTTGAAGATTACCGGAACAAACAGACAGACAAAAAATATTTAAACTGGTTTTTAGGCATAAGTATCGTGCAAATAACCGTGTGAGTATGAAAAAAACCTATTATTTTGACATTACAAACAGACACTTCTTTATTTGTTAGATGAGACAAAATCACAGTGAACTGTGATTTTTCATTTGATTTTTGCGTACGTAGGTTAGGGTTGCTAGGTAGGTAGGTTAGACGCAATTTAACAGTAAATCTAATATTTTTTATTTATTATGTAGGCAATGGTAGCTCTACAACAATAAAATAATTACTAGATTTACTGTTAAAAAGGCGAAATAGGGTCTTGATGCATCGTCTGAAAACAGCTTATTGGCTGAATACGCGTGAGTAAGTAGTAACGCTAACCTACGTACGAAATAATCTAATGATATATCACCGGTCATTCACAGTTCACTGTGATTTAGTCCCATGTCTAGTTTATATAGCTATAGACCACAGAACCATCAGTAAACCTATTTTATTTACCAGTAAACTAATCACCAATTACCAGTAAAATAAACTATACCAGTTTCATTGCGCAGTTTATCGAAAATATGAGCTGATTTCAAGTAAATGACAATTTAAGGTTATTAAAGATTAACTTAAATAGTCTCAAGGGTAAGGAAATAATTTTACCAGTTTACGATATGACGTGTTGTTTGCAAATAAACGGAAAGACATTTTAATAACCGCAAACTTCAAGGACTTAATATTATATGCAGTTTTAGTCATTTATTATGTTTTATAATATTATCTGTGGTCAGTTTATGATGAGTACACACGTGGGTAACTATGGTCATAAAGATTATTATGTTTGCCAGGTCGTGAATCCTTAAGAAAAGTTTCACTACCATAAATGTAATTATGTCTCCTAATTTTATAATGTTTATAGTTCGAGAAGATTAGGTATATTATGTTATTAGGGATTTAGTCTTTTATCTTTAGATATCGTTGCGAAAATGGTACATAGGACGAAGCAAAAATGAGGGTACTTTATAGACAAGTCGATTGGTTTTTCATACCTAATTAAAAAGTACAGGTTCTGCCTAATTTAGGACGTCGTGTTTGACATGAGTTAGATTAAGTCTACAAACAGTTGACTTGACGTGATTGCGGATTTGGAAGTTTGACTGACTAACTGAATTCCTATATTGTTTACGCACTATTGCGATCTCTAATTCTAATCCCAAGCAATTCATGGATAACCTTTTAGCATACGTCATTTTACGCGGGTAGTTCACATTGTTGATCCTTTCGATCGGCGACAACTTCCGGCAATGCTATTGTACGTACAAACGACACAGAAGAAGTAAAGAATTCTTGGTGCGTTTATACAAATAATACTTTGATTCATCCATAATCTTTTCCGGAAAGGAGATTCACGGATAACGGAAAGAATCGGATGACGGAAGCCGGATCTAGTGCGTAAGCTACCATAGAAATAGTTCTAAAGTGTCTACTTCGAATCGTATTTTCACGCATTTGGAACGGACGTAGTGCATAACAGCTCTTACTCTAACTCTTACTGAAAGTACAAGTTAAGTTGGTTCTGCACTCGTTGAGCTCAAATTTAGACGCGAAATACAAACCGTTACAAAGATTGTTTTTATCTCTTTTTCGCGTCAGTTTCACATCAATGCAACCACAATTCCAGTTATAAATAAATAATATTGTTCTCAATTGTAATTCAGATAGTTTCGCTTTAATTACACTGTTTTATTTGATTGACATTATATGTTGACGCACAAGCAATTTGAATTAAAAACCGCATGTTATTTACAATTTACATCTATAATAATAATATAGCTAAAGTGTTTTCTGTTTGTTTGTTGAGTTGTCTGTTTAATCGCGATAATATCTGCAGCTATCAGTCAGATTTGAATAATCATTTTTGCTTTAGATATCTAATAAAACAGTGACATTAATAAAGGCTAAAATATCACGATACGATCTTTATAAGAGTAATTTTGTTCCGGCTGCATTAATGGATAAATGCAGCCGGAACAAAATTATTGATTGATGATTTAACAAACTGTATTTCCAAGCCAACCTCAAGTCAACATTTTTTTTCATTTTATGTTAGAGGGGCCAGACGAGCAGACGGGTCACCTGATGGAAAGTAACTATCGCCGCCTATGAACGTCTGCAACTCAGGAGTCACAAACGCGTTGCCGGCCTTTTAGGAAGGAGTACGCAACATGGATAACACAAATTGTAACGAATAACAAATGATTGTGAACGAATGATTGTGTCATAAGAGCAAATCTCCTCAAATAAGGTTCTTTAAACCGAATATTGGAAGTATATAGCCCGTATAACTGGGACAAGTTAAAAAGTCGGCAAGTCTGTTTTTTTAGGTGTAAAGAATAGGAATCCGGGGAAACACTATTTGATTTGACCAATGAGCGCGCTTGCGTTAATATAATACATACTTGACAAATCCATTGGCAATGTAAATGCACTACGTACGCGTACTTTTTTTTGGAATCCCTCAAAATATCTTAAATAGTAACAGGTTAATTTAAAATTCCATATAATGTATTAGTTTGTTCTACCATTACATTAAATTTAATCATTAGACATTATTCATACATTAAGATAAATTTAAAGCGATTGGCACTATGCTTCTGATTAAGGGTCCCGCTAGGCTGGTTGCTATTGGGTATTAAAAAGAAATAACTCACTAGATAACACGACGGCGATCAACAGCACGATAAAAGAGCCAGAAAATAATCCAACTTTGAAAGTTGTCCAGGGACTCTGCTGTTCACCTAAAGGAGGGACTCTTAACTTCTTCATGGCCTTCTGCCGGTCACCTCCTTCGAGTTCGTTAGTGACTGTAGCCTCTGTGTCGCTGATCAGTCTGTCTATGTCCTTGTTTGTGTAGAAGTGTGATGTTTCTACGTGTTCCGCCCGCCATTGTGCTCCGTTGTTCACGTTTAGTAACTGTTGACAACTGGTGGTTGATTATGACATGCATACATACAACATGAAAGGTGTAGTACAATACAGGTAAGGGGTATAACATTTTTTTTACAAGAGTTTCTTTATCGGTCTTCTAGAATGTTAAAGATCTCAGTGATGTTTTTGTTCGTTTTTTTCCTAAATTAAATGGATTTTGGTGTTGAATGTCTGCGTAGAATATCCGTGTATGTATGTAATGATATACTCGTTTATTGGCAAACGCCGCATTAAAAATTTTGGTTCTATAAGCAAAGTATTTTTTTAGTGCTACAGTAGTCCTAAAAAGTTAGTGTGAATCTGTTGATTCGTCGAGAGAAATAAATTTATTCGAGATTCGGTAATGGTATTCCATTACCGAATCTCGAATAAATTTATTTCTCTCGAAAAGATAATTCTCCTAATAAAGCTTGTAACCTTTTATGCCAGTTGAGAAATCGAGAGTATTTTGGAACTGAATTTTTACCAACATTTTTATTACAATATTTGGTCTTCAGGCCTTATAAGCTGCTTGACCTTATAAAAATAAAATAATTGAAATTGGACCTTATCTGGCAGTTGTCGCAGGACATGTAGGTATATAAAATCATGTATTGTTATGTATTTTTTTTTAATAGTTATCCTCAATCTTCAACCTTAACCTTGCTGTATAAAAAACCAAAACCAAAAAAAAGATTGCGAAATTATATTGATATATTTTAACATATTGTTTTAGATTACTGTTATACTCGTACTATTTACTAGAAATTTTTAGAATGGATGAAGAAAATACACTGGATATAAAGTATCAGAAGTATTTATTTGAACTCAACTCCCTCAATCAATAAACTTCAACTCGTAAAGTATATAGACCGTGTTAATAAAAATTACGAATTCTATTAAGACACGCCTGTTGGTCTAGTGGTTAGTAACCCTGATTGCTAAACTGGAGGTCGTGGGTTCGATTTCCGCCCAGGATAAATATTGTGATGAGCACTATCAATTGCTTTGTGTCTGGATGTAATTTATATATAATATGTATGTATTTATAATATGTAAGTGTGTTTATCAGCAATCTGGTTAATACCTTGGCTCTGCCTAGGTTGGGATCAAGACGGCAGTGTGTGAGATGTATGAAGTTATTATTATTTAGGTTAAAGCAACGTTTTTCATTAACTATAAGTGACATGAGATTATCGATAAGCATACTTTTATAATTATAGGAACATACAAGTTAGGGTTTATCACAACGTCATAATATTGTCATTTTTTTGTAAGTGACAATATTTTGACCTTTTTTTACTTTTTAATAAAAAAGGTCTTACTCTCTCTCTTACGACATATTATTATATAGATCTAATGATTGGCTTAAAGCCGCATAAAAATCATACACTTCATAAGACTGTGTAATATTATTGCTAGTATCTTTATAACATCGCAACTTAACACAAATATTTGTCCACGATATCATTTGACCACCGTATGTACATAGGATAATCCCTAGAAATAGTAATAAAGATATAAAATCTTATCAATATCAAACAAAGCATACCTTATCGTGTTTCTTTAATATTTTTCTGAAGCCCGTGTAATTTAAATTTTGATAGTTCTGTAATAAAATAAGACTCAAATAGAACTCGCTAAATGCCAACTTAAGTTCTTGAACTTTTCGTCGAGGCATGGCCTTTTTTATATCACCTCCTCCTTTCGGTTTTATCGTTTCGAACTGTAATTTGAGTTCGCTTTGTAGCGTGGCGAATTTACGCGTCGCTTCGGCAAGCTTCTCTGCAATAGATAATCACACTGTAGATACATTAAGAAAACATTTTTAATTATATTTGCTTGAATTTTTTTTTTTTTATTTTAGGAAACAACGGAAAAGTTATGACAATAACTATGGGCTTGTTTGAAGCTTCAGTTTTGTTGAACTTATATATCCCTGTTGAAGTATGCAATGGACCTGGGACCCACACGGATGCATGGTAAATTAAAAAAAATCAAGACAAGACCCAAAAATAACATCTATTTTTGTCTTTTGTAATGTGAGTTGCTGTAATGTTTTAAATATTACTTGTTAAATATTAGTATTATTTAACCCAAGTTCAAGTAATCTTTTTCTTAAAATAAATATTTATATTGTTACCTGAATAAAATGTGTTGATTTTCTTTAGTTCCTGATCACAATAATGAAAGAATGACTCATCAAAGTTTGCAAAGTGTCGAGACAACACTTCGGGCTCCACATTCTCTGCAGATGGAGCCTCTTCTACAGTTGTGTATAACATTGCTTTCATTTCCTGAAAATAAGGTTTTATTATAATAATGATGAAAATTAAGTAACTGTGTAACAAAAAATTAATCCCACGAAAAAATTAAAGGCGAAAAATTCTATTTAAAAAAACATCTAAATGTGGAAGGAGGAGAGGGTTCAGTATTGGTAGTTTAATGATACAATATCGCGCCTAGAAGTTAGGAGGCTTCTGTGCTTCTAGAAGGACCTTGATTGGCTCACTTAGCTAATCAAGGCTCCTTCCAGAAGCACATTGACACATAAAGGATCATTCTTGAGTCTAAATGCGGAAAACGGATCACAATACCAATGTGTAGTTTAATACAATTTTTTTTGTCTGAGTACCCATAATAAAAAAATAAAAAAAACTGGTTTATGATTTTGTCGGCATCACTAAGTAATGTTGCAATGTAAATACACTTGCGAAATAACAGCTTCTTATTATACCAATCTCTAAGCTAAGTCACATTTGGATGGGCAAACAGACAGATTTCGGGAAACTGTAAAGGTTGCTTGTCTTAACAACAACAACCCTTATAGTTTTCCTATATCTGTCTTATAAAAATATACTTTCCCCCTTTCATACCCAACAACAGAGTTGACTTGAGTTCATCCTCTGATTGTTAGTTATCAAGTATAATTACATATTAAATTAACTTGGAATTCTATTTTATAGTTGAAATAACATACATAAAACTATATGTAGAACCACTATATGTATAACTCTCTAATATAGCAAATTCACATTTGTTTTATAATATCTTTATGATCTATCAAAATTTAAATTAATTTAAATTTCTGCTTGTTCTGTCATAAAATTAATAAAATTGGCATAAAAATACAAGCAGACATTTGAATAATTTATAAAACGCATCACAATATTTACATGCTATGCGATTTAAAAAAAAAAGAGTTTTAAATGTAATTGAATGTCAGTATGGAGTACAGAAAAGAATTAAAGTTCTGTGCAAAAAGCTATGCTAATCTAAGCATTTACCTACATGACAGTGAATCCCCTAAAAACCTTGCATATTAAAATTTCCTGAAAGAGTATGATTTGTAATATCCACAAATAAACCACAATGGATGTACTTGAGAAATACACATTGTTCAGGATACTTTAGGAGCTTCAGGAGCTAATGAGATAACATTTGATAGATGTTTCAATATGTTTGTTTGGAATTGTTCAGGATACTTGTTTCAATTTGTATGTATATGTGCAATACACTATAGTGCAACTCTCACAGGCCCGTGTATATCTGGTTATAGAGCTTGAATAGTCAACATCAGAGGAATGTGTATCAGTGAATATACATTGCGTAGAACATTTTGTATAGAGACCCCGTGGCCCTAGTCCACAAATCATTTGGTTTATCTGGGGCATAAAGTTATGGGATTTTAGTACATTATATGATACACCTAAAAATCCAGTTAGAAGAACAGGTAAAAAAAACCAAGTCCACATAATATTTTAAGATCAGATGTCAGTTATACAAAAAAAAAATTACTATCATAACATTTGCCTCAGTGCAGAATATATTAATGATGTTATTTATTTAGGTAAGTTGCTGCTAAGTCAGCAATAGTTACTATAAATCTTATAGTCCACCTAAAGGGTTATAACATCAGCATTATCAATCCTATTTTCACTCCGCAAAAAAGTGCTACAGAACCAGTCTCTACAGCATAGGAGTAATAGAAGAAGTCGAGCAACTTCTGCAGCATAAATGTCTAAGTAATTTAATCACATTTACTATGCTCTTCCTCTTATCCCTAGAATACATGCCTTTAAGGAACATAAATAATAATAAACAATAAAATATGACAAAAATTATTATTGTGAGGATTAAATTGGTGGGTAGCCCTAAAATCCGTCAATGTGGATTTATTGCATAAAATCAGAACCATAGTAGGTGCATTAAAATTATTGATGTCTTATTTACCTCATAATTGATGTACTGTTTACGCCATTCCGGCGTTATATGAGCACTTAAGTGCTCCGCGAACTTCATCTTAAGACCACTTCAACAACACTTTGCCTTTAAAGTATTCAATACAGACTAAAGGTTCCACGATTTTATCGTAATGAACAAAGTTAATTTACTTTGAGATAACTGGTAAGAGTGACCTCATTGCACTAAGTACACATATATTAAGTACATAATGGAATGATACGATACTACTACTCATGAACAAATTATTCGATTTTCACTTCGCACTTTTTACACAAATGAACAAATCTGATTAGGATTTACTGACTGACTGAACTGAAGTACCTACTAAATACTAAACTGAGTGACATGAACTGACAGTGACAGACATGACATCTAGACAGACAATAGTGTATTTACATGTTTCAAAATAGTGCTACATGGCTCATTCTACTAGTCGATTCAGTAGTACAAAGCTAAAAACGGAAGAAATCGTTTTTATGACTTGTAAAACACAACAACGGGTAAATCCTTCTTTCCAAAGGTAGGTGTTTTGAAAGAGTTGAGCCTTCTTTCATTAATTATATTTAACTTGTATATTCTAGAGAACATATGTATAACAGTGATAATTTACTAGCTTTACCTTTACTATTCTAAAAAAAAACATCAAAAACCCCAAGAGTAAGAGGACAATAAATGTTTTAAGCCACTTCCCCACCCTTCTGTCATAGGGTTACATAATATTTTTAGGAGTTGGAAGAACATTAGTTCTGCCGAGAAGTGGGTTTTATAACTTTATTCAACTCTATACCTTATTTTTAAGATCTTAATCGTTTAGTAAACAAAGCCGTGCTACAGGCAAACTTATATTTTCTGTTTGTAGTTCTCTATAATATGCAAACAGACAATATATATTACATAAAATGATGTCTCAACAGCAAAATTCAAAATTTGAAGGGGAACTATTCAGACTTCAAGTAGCCCTATCGATTATTTTAAATAAGCATTTTATGTAATGAAAAAGCAACTAACAAAATTTAATAAAATTCAGTAAATTTCCGTTCTAAATTCTTTATATTACAACATTGGTTTAGGGAGAAAAGAAAAAGCTTGTTAATAAAAATAATATTTAATCTTTTTTCTCTTCTAATTTATTAGTGTTATTGTCTCCCATCGGAAACAATGTCTGGTTTATGTACTCTGGTATAATTCTAGCCACTTTTCTTGATTCTTTTACCAGAGTTTTTGGACACTGCATTTCAGACCAACTTATAGGTACCATGCTCACACCTTGTGGAGATCCTTCTGCTGTCGCTATGGCAACTCCTAGTTCATTTTCTGCTGTTGACAGATGATACCAATGAATCTCAGTCATTGGAAGCTGGATTGAGAGTTAAAGAAGTTATATAATCAAGTTTGATATAACAACTTTGTATTTTTTTTAAATCTGCAGGTCAATTCTCGTATATCACATACATGAAAGGAAGTGAATTTTTATTAAAAGAATTAAAGTTTGGTTTGAACTCAATCACTATTGATGTTTTAAAAAATTTGTAAAAAGGATACAACTCTTGCTAATATAACATCACTGGGTCTAAAGCATTTGTATGGGTCCACTTTATCTTTTTCTGTAGCTTTTATATCTTCTTTCTTGAGTATACCTCTGTATGGTCTTACTAGAACTGAAGGGCCAACACACAAGATTACACATTGGACCATTCGGGGATTTACTACTGTTACCTTGGCCGTTACTATGTCTCCTGTTTTAGGCAAAATGCTTGGTGTCTTTGGGCTGTCTACTGATACAACTGTGACCTGGAAAAGTTCAAAGTACTAATAATGACAAAACTTAAAAAAGTATCTTGTAGTATTTAACTGTTCCTTACATGTTAAATTGAAATATGATATAATGCCAGGCATTGCTTAGTCTACTAATAAATGCCTAAACGAAAAAAATATCAAACATAATTTGAAGGAATTCTTTATGGAAAACATGGCCCATTCGTCTTTGTAAGTAATCCCTCTTCCTCTCCTTGCCTGACTCGGAGTTCACTTCACCGTTCTGCGCCCGTACGCTTAAATTTTATAATTATTTTAAAAGTACCTACATAATGACGCATGTATTTTACTGTATGGTGTTAATTTGTATCAACCTCGCTTGATGTAGCATCTGTTGCATTTTTTACAAACCTCAGTGGTGGTAATCAGTAGTTGTAAATTGCTTTGCAATATGTTAAATAAATAAAAAAAAATAAAAAATACTGTTCTATCTGAAGAACATCACTTTTTTTATGTGACCCGCCTGCTCCTTTGCCCCCATGCCTCTTCTATAAAAAAAAAAAACTGTTATATTAATTATTTCTTGTGTATGCCTTACATTATCTTTTAACTTATTGGTCATCAATCAATTTTTTTTTATTTATTTGGAAAACAAACAGTATTAATTTTTTTTGGGTAAGATCAAATAATGTAGTTAAACACCAATTACATGTTTTCGCATGTAATAAAGCTGAAGAGTTTGTTGTAAAACTGTAAGTAAGTTGTGAGTTCGAGTTGAAAAACTGTACGTATTGGATAGCCCATTTAAGGAAGACTGTAGGCTATATAACATTATGCTACCACCAATAGAAGCCGAACATCAATAAAAAATGTTGCAAAACGGGGAAAATTTATTCCTTTTCAGGCGCAGAAGAAAGTTGCTCGGGTCAGCTAGTGTAATATATTATTATGTGTTAATTATCATTTAACCTCCTTTCTAAGGAGAGGCTTATGTCCAGTAGTGGACTATTAAAGGCTGTTGATGATGATAAATTATCATTGTAAAACGCTTATGCAAAAAGTCACATAACAATAAAAAACAGAAAAACTTACATCGTTTTCGTTTTTTTCCATCTTCAATACACCTGCTAACGAAGCGTAAATGTATCCCCTAAGTTCATAAGTTCCAGGTCCAGCTATGTTTTCTTTGTTCAGCAAACTTAATCGCATACCTGGTATGCAGATTTTACCCATTTCCTTCATCTTCTCTTTTATTTCTGAAGGTGAAAACATTAATCTTTCTTTTAGAGGTTATGATTTACCAGTTCACACCACCGCTTTGAAGAAACAGATGTATCTATTGTATTTTTAAAACGTATAAATCGTATTATGTGTAGAAGAGAACTACTGTAAGACTGATTAGTATTTTTATTTACTTTTAATAATATTAAACAAGCAAACTAACGTGGATCTATCTTTGTTTATCAACACATGAATTGACATGAGTACTTCATCCAATCCATAGACTATAAATACATGCAAACATCCATAAAATTATTCTGTAATCATCATTATTATCGGCCTCTGCTTATCGCAGTCCACTGTAGGACATAGACCTCTTCCATTGCCAGCCACTTAGATCTCTAATATAATTATCTAATAGTATTAATGTACTTTGTAAGAGTTATAAACATCACTTTCAAGTTTTCAATAAAAGGTAATGGCTCCATGGTTTGGATAATGATAATTCTTTCTTAAAACACAAATATTTATACTAAATTTATAAATAACATAAACTCCAAAAATAAAAATGGAGTATCGAGGCGAAATGTGCCATTTATAATTTATTATTTAGATCTAATTTAAGTTCAGTTTCCGAACTTTTATTGTATTTTTGAACATAGAGTATAATAAGTATAATAGCAAGTTAGAACACACTAAAAGTTTAAAAAAAATTTAAAACGGTCTTTCTAAATTTTTTTAACTAATATTATTACAAAAGTTTTTTTGTAATAATATTAGTTAAATCCACATGTATTGAACACATATCAGACATTGTCAGGAATCTATGTATTGTAGTTTCATTGTTAATTTTTTTAGAGTTTATTAGTAAAACAGAATACACAGGTAGATAAGTTAAGTTACAGTTAAGTTTTATTATTTGCGATGGCAGATAATGATGGTACTGTTAGTGACCTTCATAGGCCTCCCCAGGGCTCTCCACAACAACCGGTCCTATGCTGCCCATATCGTCAGACCACCTTTTAGGGGGTCTACCCACGCTCCGTCTTCCTAGGTACAACGATAGCAATTTTAAAAGAAATCAAGATTTCAACATCACCTAAATTTTGAATAGTAAAGAATGCCCTGAGTGGGCATTATAGAAGTCCGCCGATGTACACAAGTGCTTAAAGTAATCCAGGACCAATTATTTTCAACACACTTCACTTATTTTTACCTTTAGTGCATGACTAAATTATTTTAGTACTACTATTGACTTGCAAGTCTTGCAACTCTAGTTTCGATAGACGTGTCACGTCAGCCGGTTGTCTGACGTTTGAGTGTGTGGAGCGATTCTGTTTAGAAGGAAATTTATTTAATATCTCTTTAATTTACTTGAGATTATGCTCACAAAGTTTGAGACTAAGTCAGCCAGGGTGAAAGGTATATCCTTTCATGCCAAGCGGCCATGGGTTCTTGCGAGTTTGCACAATGGCGTGATACAGCTTTGGGACTATCGTATGTGTACATTACTTGAGAAATTTGATGATCATGACGGTCCTGTGCGTGGAATTTGCTTCCACCAACAACAACCGCTTTTTGTATCCGGTGGCGACGACTATAAAATTAAGGTTTGTGGTAAAAAATAAAAGTACCGAACCCAATTTTTACAAGATATTTCGTCACTTAAATGACACGTATCTGGTTGTAGATACATCACTCATAACTGGAAGCAATAATTTAAGTGTACAGCCGGTTTGGTGACCTGAAACTAGTGTAGAGATGATATGAAGACATTTTTATTAAACACATTACACACCACTACCACTTCAAACAGCTATTTAATTTAATATCTTAGTCATACTATTTGATAAGATTTCTTACTTTATTTTTTAATTCAAACATTAGTTTATTGTGTTAAATAATCCTTAAATCTTACTTTATTTAGTGAAATTTAAATCTGCAACTTTACCTTAAATTCTTACAGGATTGGTAATTGTTTAAACTCAGATAATAAAACTATTTTTTTTATTAAATTCCAATTCCAAAAGATATTAAATTAAATTCCAATTCAAAATTCCAATAGATATTTCTTGTGAGATTTTTTAATTTTGTTTTCTCCATGTATTAAAAATGTATAATATATAATATACAAAAATATATTATATACAGTGTAATACAATCTTCTATCTTAGAATTGTACATATATATATTATGACCACTACAAAATTCTTATATTCAACCTTCCAAACAAATAATACAATCAAATCTGACATTAATGTAGTTTACAAATCAATATTAGTTTTTTCCAAACTAAGTTTAGAAATGTTCATAATATTTTAATTATTCCAAAAACAATAATAATTTTGAATTGAAAATAGTAAAGCAGAAAGAGAGGCAGAAACTGCACAATGAAAAAAAAGGCAGTCAGTGCAAGGTAAACTTCTTGTTTCTAGATAGGCAATAGAAAGGCAACGGTTAACAAAGACCTATTTTAAGGAAACCCTGCAATATACAATATTATAGATAATACTTTAGTATTAGTCTTGGAAAAGGGTTACCTTGGAATGTACTTGACAGCTTAGTATAGGTGATTGCTCAATAATATGCAATAGACAGCACCTTTAACCTATGGCAAAAGAATTAATAAGTGATGGTTGCGGGAAGCTATTAGATGCCTGCAGCTCAGAACTGGTTGTTGGGGTGAACCTTGGGAGAGCCGAGTCCAGCAGTGGACGTCCTTCACTGAGATGATGATGAAAAGAATAAAATCATTTGCTATTAAAATAAAATTTGTTTGGAAAATTACACTGTTTTCACTTCTGTTATCATAGATCATTACTACATAACACAACACAAAACATCACATTACACCTGCAGTTAGCAAGTGTAAATGTTTTTAAACTGTGAATAAATATTACATTTGTAATTTCTGTGTTACAGGTTTGGAATTACAAACAGAGAAGATGTTTGTTCACTCTGCTCGGCCATTTGGACTATGTCCGAACCACATATTTTCATCATGAGTATCCATGGATATTGAGTGCATCTGATGATCAGGTTCGTAGATGATTTATTTCAATTCCTAAAAGTCCTACAGTTCTACTGATCTTACTATTGTCATATTTTAAGTAGAACTTGAGTGTTTTAATTGTTATATAAGTCATATAACTTTTTTAGCATTTTCAAAAGAAGGAAATGAAGTGTTTACGATTTTCTTCATTTGCTGTCCGTATTTTGTATTACGAAAAACTCATTGAACCACAGTTTTTTTTTCTTGCTTCACACGAATAAAGATATATTTACACCATTTTGTTGTAAACTCAGATAACCATGTTTGTGGTATTTTTTTGTCACTTGTACCTACTCAAAATGAAAATGAAAAATCTACTTTAATGAACCCTCATTAAAGTAGATTTTTTAAAATTAATATTGCAGTAGTTACAATGATCTTAGTTAAGCTATATCTTCTGTTATACTCTTTGATAAGCACTTAATTTATGTCTCATAAAAAAAAATGTACAATCGTTTTTTTTTTCAGACAATAAGAATTTGGAACTGGCAGTCTAGACAATGTATAAGTGTTCTCACTGGACACAATCACTATGTAATGTGTGCACAATTTCACCCTACTGAAGACCTATTGGTATCAGCCTCTTTGGATCAGTCTGTACGAGTATGGGACTTCTCAGGCCTTAGAAAGAAGAGTGTGGCACCAGGCCCCACAGGACTGGCTGAGCATTTGAGGAACCCACAGGCCACAGATCTATTTGGACAGGTACAATTTTGATGTTTGTTAATTTACTATGAATGTATGTAAATGTGGAACAATTTTATTGATATTGTGATATTATTGCACTCAGACTGCTAAGTGATATACTATACATAAAACAGCTCAAATTTACCTTTTTTAGTTCTAGTTTCATGTTTGCTTATAAATAAATTTTGTTGCTGGAAATACAAGGAGAGTATCTATTTTTTGTTTATCAATGGTTTAAGTTGTGCATGTAGACTGATTAGAATATTTATCATACATGTTTAAAATTCAGTATTTGTAAAATTACATATTTAAAATTGTACTTAAACTTTCGTTAATCTTAATTTAGTGATTAATATATGATCAAATACGGATTGTGTTAATATGGTGTTAATATGGATATCTAGTCATCAAGTTTTTTCTTAGATAATTTATTTAACCAAATTTTTAGTGTAATTAACCAATCGCAAATATTCGGGGTGTGATCTCGTTATATTGATAGTCTAATACTACATTTAATTTTACAAAAAAAATAAAAATGTACAGTTTCATTAAAGTCTGTTTAAAATCCATCAAAAATTAATGGATATGGATACAAGTATCTGGCATATCCAGCTAATATCATCACTACTTTTTACCAACGTATCAATCGCAGTCACGTAACAGTTATTTCTTGGGCTGAAATAGTTGTCTATATTTTTTGCAATCTTCTATCATATATGATGTATGAGATATTATGATTAGATATTTGAACAAATCAGATCTTTAAAGTGTAATGAATGCGTTTTAGCAAGCTATGATTTGAAAACTTGTGTAACTACACACGCTCGCGTAAATGAACGCTGTAACTAGCAAATAATAATTACTTCACACATGTGACACACTGCCGTTTGATCTCAAACTAGGCAGAGCCTTTACCACGGTTACCAGACTGCTATACTTTTTTAGGTTTTTTTCATAGACTGCAACAAAGTTTTTTGTACCATTTTATTGCAACGTGTACCCATAGTGACATTCGCTGTATCGTCTGGTTTATTGTTATATTGGTTTTGTTAATTTAATGTTAATGAAGTAAGTAATAGGTACTCGTGTCACGATTTATTATTTAACGAGACTTTTATTCGAAAACGGTTATCTATGGTATGTCTGATCGAAGTTTGCAACCTTAACCCCTATCGTAACATATCAAATATGTTGTCCGTTTCTATTCTCGTTTAACGTCGTTATGTGGGAGAAAGGCAACACCCCCTTTTTATATTTCAGAATATATTACACATAAGATGTAGATGAATAAATATATCAATATTCATGTTATAGCATTAATATCTATGTATTTATAGATGTTATAACACATCACCAATGTTGCTGAAAGCAACTGATTTTGCAGGCTGATGCTGTAGTTAAACACGTGTTGGAAGGGCACGACAGAGGTGTGAACTGGGCCTCTTTCCACCCCACACTGCCCCTCATCGTGTCTGGAGCGGATGACCGGCAGGTCAAACTGTGGAGAATGAACGACGCTAAGGTATCAAGTGTCTTGGACTCTTTGGTAACTGCAAATAACAGGAATGCTTGGTTTTGGTTCAGAATCTATTTCGGTATTCTCATTAACGTCTCTTCATTGTTCTCATATTTAGAAATGTTACTTCTTTCTTATTGGTAGGTAGTCAGTTTTTGCAGTTTTTGCAGTAAGTTGTACAGATCTTGAGGGAAGATATCTCATATAACAGACTGCTGGAAGTGTGTTGATATTTAGTATACCATTTCAATTTCTTTCATTGAAAAAGAAACTGAATTCATGTGGATATGATGACGAATTTATGTAAAGTCCTATACCTATGACATAAAGTTGAAGATTTCGAAACTAATTTTAAAAAAAATCTATGAAATAATTAGTTGTATGTTATATCTAGCTAGTGTTAAATCAATACAATTTGGTTTAAGGATGAAACCATAATATGCTTAAAAACATTATGAAATATAGTTACTGACCTTGTGCAATATCCTAATTTCCATAAATACTAAGAATAATTTTCTTATAAATAATATAACAATTTTATTTATATTATTTATTAGAATCATTGGGAACTACCCTATTGTGGCTATTGAAAAATAGTACATTATTCTTATCTGATTGTTCTCATGCGAGTACCAAGTTATTAGATGTATTAAAAAAAAACAAGACGTCAAACATTAACAATATTACTATAAAACGTTACTAGATAAAATATAATTAGCATTTAGATCTTACAACTTTTTGTGGCAGAAGAAGTGCGTTGTGACTCGCGAGATTTAGGCCTCTTTAAATACTACAATTCACCCTATAAACATTTCCTATCATATTAATTCTCTAAGGTCTCAAATACTGCTGATGTATTTGAGTCCTTATGTCCATCTTTATACAGTGTTTTTTGCAATTTCTTTCCTTTATCTGGAACAATGCTATAGTCCCTGGGTTTCTTATTGTACATAGACAAGTTTTCCAGTTTTGGTTTGGTGTGGTCTGCGACTGAACTATGCGTCACTTACCTGGATTCCTTTGATTCTGCTTGAACGCTTCGATATTTTTTCAGGATATTTTGGCACTTAAATTGTAAAATATATTATTTAATGTTTTCATCATTAAATGGTAAACACAGGTTGTTGATAATTTTATTTTGGTAAGTTCGTTTCATTTCTTTTATCTTAAAATTTATCCAATAATTAGAAAAGGTTTAATTAAAATAGACTATTTACAGTTAAAATGTTTTTGCAGTCGATATATTGGAATGAGCTCGTGCTTTTTGTCCTCAAAGTAGTAAGCAGAGATGTGTGAGACCTGTCATAGTAGGTTACATGTGTTAAATATGATTACAATATTTGATCAGCTCTTTAAATTTTCCAGGACTGCAACATTCAAAGCTAAAAATGAGGCAAAAAATATATGAATTCCATAAATTTGCTTTATTTTTATTCCATGTTCAATGAAATTGTTTTTAAAGTTCAAGTTTTATGTAACACCTAAGTAAAAAACAAAATGTTCATATCTTATGCATTAAAAAAAGTTTATTTTACATTATGACATGACATTTTACATTTCTATACAAAACGATGATGTGTCAATAAATCGAGTGTTACTACTTATTATTGCCAACTTTTTTTTTAAAGTTGTCAAACGATTGAGACCTTTTACCAATTAATAGCTTATTTTACCTATTTATAAAAAAAGGTAGGTTTTTTCCATAATGCTAACAGCATAATGCTGTTATTCTTTACTCACCATAAATATTATTCAGGCTTGGGAAGTAGACACGTGCCGAGGCCACTACAACAACGTATCGTGCGTGTTGTTCCACGCTCGTCACGAACTCATCCTGTCCAACGGCGAGGACAGATTCATAAGAGTGTGGGACTTGACAAAGAGAACCTGCTTGCACTCCTTCAAGAGAGAAGATGAGAGGTTCGTCTTTTGATGATATAGTTTTATATTTATAACTTGAAAGACAGACTACTATAACGAGGATTGCATGGATAAGCCAATAGATCCCCACATTTAGTACAGATCAATTATGTTTAAATTACTCCAAAATAAATACATATTGCATTTACAAATAAACAGATTTAACCTATTCTATCAATAGCTAACTAAGACTTTAGTGCTTAAATATCTTTTTTTATTGTATTTTATTACACAAAGCTCTACAATCACAGGTCAAGTTATACTAACTGGTCATGAAATAAAACTCTCGAAAACCGACCGTACTTGAGACTCTTGAGTTGCTGTTGTCCTGCGTAGTCTCTTCCCTTAGTCGGCCCAAGGGACGGAGTGACGGAGTCGGACCATACAGTGGTGGTGACACTCCGTATTTAATCCTTAATCCGTCACCACACGGATATTATTTTTAACTACACGGATATATTTTAGATTATTTTTACAGATATTGGGTATTAGCAGCACACCCAAGCCTGAACCTGTTTGCAGCGGGTCACGACGCTGGCATGATACTATTCAAGCTGCAGCGAGAGCGTCCTGCTTACGCTGTGCACAACAACATGCTCTTCTATATTAAGGACAGGTAATAAATGTACTTTGATATTAATATTTTATAATAAATGCGAGATTAAAAAGTCTATGAGAAGTGTCATAAGTTTGACGTGTGTTTTTATGTCTGTGTCGATTCCAAAAAGAAAATGCAAAATGGGAGGACCAATAAGTAAATAAAAATAACATAATAATTTTAAGTTTTTGTGACGAAGCTTTAATCCAAAATTCTGGGTATTTATAATGAAGTAGGCCGACGAACATATTATTTATTTACTAATTAGAAAGTTTTATTGTAAATATATTATTTATAATATTAGTATGTAAATACTTATCCATAGTCGGAGTAGTTTTATATGTAAAAAGCGAATGTATTTATGTTATTTTATAAGAAACGGACATAGTTCACGTCTGTTTGCGAAATATAACAGTTTAAATTGCAACATAAGTTAACACCGTTAGTTATTTATTTTCACGTTACACATTGCAAAAATGCAAGAGGAAACATGTGTTAAACAAATAAAAATATATGATGAAATTGTTAATTGTTTACTTGCTAATATAAAATATGTTTCAATAATAATGCGTGCTTTGCAGACAACTCCGCAAGTTGGATATGACAACTAACCGAGTGACGCCCGTTATGCAGATCAAGGGTGGAGGCAGAAACCAGCCGTACAGGTAATTTTACTTATACCAAACAAAATATTTTTTTAATAAATGATTATAAGCTTGGGAACTCCTCACATTAATCGACAACTTTGAATGATAATTGCTGACTGTATAATCGCTGCACGGATGGCGTAGTGATTTAAGTGGTCGCCACGTCGCTTTCTACTACGCTGAGTGTTGTGGGTCCGATCCCCACATGGGACGACACTGTGTAACCCACAAAGTCTTGTTCTAAGTCTGAGTGTTCTTTGTGTCGGGTTCATGTTTGTTAGTAAAGTCCCCCGCGACACAAGATATAATCCTAATGCGGGAGTTGTCTTTAAATAAAAAAATTTTTACAGAAATTTAAGTTAAGTAAGGTAACTGAGTAGGTTAACACATTGCAAAGTTAAGCAATCCTGGCCAGGTCAGTCTATGGATATTTGACCATTTTTTAACACATGGCGATCCGGGCTCTGATCAGGACTTTTTCTAATACATTGGGTGAGTTAAGCTTCATAAATAATACACCGGGTGGCTCTCTAGGAAGGAAGTTGCCTGTGATTGAGCAAAAGTCCCTGCCCAGGCGACCATTCTTAGTAAAAACTTCGGAAGCTGCCTCGCGCTGCGCGTTTAAAATTAGTATTCTGTGTGTATTAAAATACTCCTTAAGATTCATTATTTTCGTATTACAAAGTATAGAAAGCGCAGTTCAGTCTTTACATTACGCAAATAAGTGTTTGTTTCTATTATTTTAAATTACTTTTTCTTATATGATGATGATGGCAGTCGCTCCGCCTTAAAAAAAACGAGGTAACGTAGTAGATTTAAAGCCGACCCCAATCTAATAATATATTAATATTTTTTTGTAAACATATTATAATATATGACATTTATTTATTTTATAACATAAATAAAAAAGTTGATCTCTCAGGATGACGTCCTGAAACTTACACCTTACTTTTGTTATATTCGTTTCAATGAGAAGAACAACTGGTAACACAGAATAAACAATTAGAATAGTAACAACTAGGTAGATATTCTGCTAAATGTACTTCTCTTACAAGTTAATGTTATTCTTCCTCCAGTATGTCTCTGAACCACGCCGAATGGTGTGTGCTGGTGAACTGGCGAGTTGGTGACAACAGTTCATACGAACTGTACACGGCCCCTAAGGACGGCAGCGACGCTCCTACCTCTGAACCAGCGAGAGGCACCGGCACCACAGCAGTCTGGGTAGCCAGAAACAGATTCGCATCCTTGGAGAAAAATAATCAGGTAAGCTCAATAAGATCTGACACCGTAACGAAGCGATTCTTTACCTCTTGATGAAGAGCCCAAGTTAAGCTCGATCCTTACTATAGTTCATTCACGTTAAGAAAAAAGTACCCAATTATTAGCACCTTGACCGATTGGTCAGGTCAAGTTACCGTTTCGTACGAAAGCTTGGAACCTAATCAGGTTCGTTAACTTCTTGGAACATCATTGGTCAGGGGGCGGGTCTTGATCGCTGCGTTACTATTTTCTTAACGCGAAAAGACCATATTATTTTAAATGCCATAATAAATTTGTCAATTCGTCTGGATCACACAACTGGAAGTCTTGCTAGAGTGCATGATATTTTGTGTGGCCTACAGTTGGTGATAAAGAACTTGAAGAACGAAGTTTCAAAGAAGATATCGACGCCGTCTTGTGAAGAAATCATGTACGCAGGCACGGGCATGCTTCTGCTACGTGAGCCGGATTGTGTGCAGTTGTTGGATGTTCAGCAAAAACGGACCATCGCTTCTGTAAGTTTACTTTGAATATACCGGTTTTTTTACCCACCGTCGTATACCTTAAATGTCAGGTATTAAATTTCATTTTCTTATTTTATTCATTTCATAAAAAGGGTAAATCTTTTTGCATTAGTATTACCTACATATTATGCCGACCCCAAATCGGTGTCTGCTAAATGAAAATATTACTGAGATGTATTGTATAGTTATTTATTATCTATCTAAGTGTTTATGTAGATAAATGTATATATATCTGTCTGTTTTAAGGTCAAAATTTAGTTGTCATTTAAATTCTTCTACCTTTTATTATCTTTGTAAAGTGCACGCCCAATCGGTTGACTGGTAGAGAATGCCTTAGGCATTAAGTCCGCCGACGCAGCTTTTACATGATTAGCAAAATAAATGAATAAAAATATGAAATTTATTGACTGATTTTTAACTGACCAAATCCTGATTAAACTAGTCTGTAATTATTATCATCATTTACAGGTGAAAATCGCGAAATGCCGCTACGCCATTTGGAACGCAGACATGTCTTTAGTGGCTCTGTTAGGCAAGCATAGTGTGACGTTGTGCACCAAGAAACTAGAACAGTTGTGTTGTGTGACTGAAGGGGCCAGGGTCAAGTCTGGTGCCTTCGATGACTCCACCCCACAGCCTGTGTTTATATACACCACCGCCAATCATATTAAGTACTGTTGTAAAGATGGGTAAGTTACATTTGTAAATTCGTGATAAAATTAATAAAACAAACGGGACAAAGAAAATATCTCCATTCTGGTCTGTCTTTTTTTAGATTTTTTTTAATTTAAAATTCTGACATATAGGTGTGTCTTAAGAGTAGACACCCAAAAATAATAAAGTTGTTACTACGATTTAAAATAGCTACACTTTATGTTATTGCTAACACAAAGGTGACAAAATAGCTAATGTAAGTTTCAAATTACATGATTAAAAGTTTGTGCTTTTTAACAGGTAATTATAATTTATTAATAAGTAGGCTACAATGGTACCTTTGTACGCATACCACAAAATTTATTATTATTATTATTATTATTATTATTATTATTATTGCCGTATCCCTATGCGTGTGCGTAAAATTTAATGATGATTGGAGAAATGGTACGACACTGCATGAAATACGTTTAATTTTTATTAATAATGTCTGTTCCGCAGTGACTTCGGTATAATCCGTACGTTGGACGTGCCCGTGTACGCAGTGAAGGTCCTGTCCAGCGAGAGCGGCGCTCGGGTTGTGTGCCTCGACAGGGAATGCAAACCTAAAGTGTTGAACATCGACCCCACTGAGTACAGGTAATGTGATCGACAAGAAATTCGATATAAGTTAGCTTAATGAAATTGATTTAATTAATAATAGTAAAAATTATAATTACTTGACACATCTTAAATTTTGCCTGGCTCGGAGGTGCAGTGGTAGCGTATGCGACTGCTGTGCTGAGGTCTCGGGTCCGATTCCCTAGTGGGACCAAATGTTTATATGATAAATATTTGCTTTGGAGTTTTTGTGTTTTTAATGAATAATATGTACACATTATACATAATATGTACATATTTCAGTTAATCTAGCTTTCATAGCTTCAAGCTTTGCTTAGTTTGAAACTAGATGGCGTTGTGTGTCAGATGTCCGGAATATTATTATTATTATAATTACTACCGTCTGTTCTCAAATTAGGTAGAGTCTATGCTATGGTGACCACACTACTAATAAACATACTTATTTATGTCTAAATTGACACATCCAAGTGGGACAGGAGCCTTCTGGCATAGCGGTTAGTTGTACTAACCATTAGATGAACACCAGTTTTAATGATGTAGATGTGATGAAGACTTTATTTCATGAAAAAAAGGATGCACTAGCGATTTCTGTGTTTCTTTTTATTTGTCGGTTATGGTTAACAATTGACGAGCAAAGTATAGTGGTCCGTGTAATGACGGATTAAGAATACACAATGTCACCACCCCTATTCATCCCGTGGATGTCGTAAGAGCCGACTAATGGAAAAAACTACCCAGAACACCAGCACTGCAGGGAAGAAGAAAAACTTGACACAAACCCTATACCAACCCGTCTGGCCAGCGTGGTATAGTAGGCCAAAACCTCCTTTCTAAGGAGAGGCTTATGTCCAGCAGTGGACTATTAAGGGCTATTGATGTACGGTATGAAACCTAATAAAAAATTAAGTTTACCTTAAAATACTTACAATAAATATTTTAGAAATCGCTGGATAACATTATTTCTTCACGTCTAATTCTAGGAAACATTCAATAGAACAAAGCTAAAGACTTACAGGAATTTGTTATGCCACAATTTACTTCAATTTTAACACTAAACTTATTACCAAGCTGCCACAAAGGGATATTATAATACCCTTCATATATATAGTATTTAGATTGTTGTGCTTATTTACAGGTTTAAGCTAGCATTGGTGACTCGTCAATACGACCAGGTGTTGCATATGGTTCGTACTGCTAAGCTGGTGGGTCAGAGCATCATCGCCTATCTCCAAGAGAAAGGTAATTTAAAATTTTGCTTACATTGGTTGGCAATATATAAATGACGTCACCACGTCATACACATAAAAAAAATATTTAATCATGATTTGATGTCCATACTCATGTTGGTTGGCAATACATACGTGACGTCATTGATGGTGTAATCGGTAATAGGCCATGTTAATAGTTTTTTATTAGCTAGACCGTGAATCGTTGTCCAAGCAAATATAGGAGAGTTTTTTAGTTATTCTGTTTTACGCATGTATGTGTTTCGAGAATACCCAACTAGATTCATTTCTCGACATTGGACTTTTATTAAGGGCTTGTTGTATTAATGATAGGCTCCCTGATAGGATTTTAATTTTATTCTCTATATTCTTTGTAAAGGCTACCCTGAAGTGGCCCTACACTTCGTGAAGGATGCTCGAACACGGCTGTCCCTGGCCCTGCAGTGCGGTAACATCGACGTGGCGTTGGAAGCCGCCAAAAGTTTGGACGAACCAGCCGCTTGGGACAAACTAGCCAAAGCAGCTTTGGCTACTGGTAACCATCAGGTATGGTTAACAAAATTCCAAACATACATAGTTTTCATAAAAACATATAATATTAAGTTTATCGTTAATTTTTTTGCTATAATTTTTTTTTGCCCTATCCTTCTTTCTCTTCTTCAGTATGGTATACTGATCTTTTTTCAGTGATTACACATTTTAATGATTTGCCTTAATAATTTAAAGTTATTGATTATGATAAAACATAATTGTATATTTCAAGGAATAAAACAAATAAAATTACACTTGCAGCGGATTTTTAGATTAATTTGAGACCCTGGTTAAATATTTCCATGTTGCAGAAGATTCCTTTTTATCCTCAAATGGGGTCACGTGTATAGGTAGGTCATGGTATAGGGTTCATCATCGTCAGCCTATCGCAGTCCACTGCTGGACATAGGCCTCTCGCATTGCATGCCACTTAGATCGATTTTGGGCTTCTCGCATCCAGCTCCTGCCAGCCATCTTGCGCAAATCGTCACTTTACCTGGCCTGTGGACGTCTTACACTACGGTATAGGGTTACTAAATCTTAAATACCACCACACGACGATCGGCTTGTCTGCAAACCTATTTTTTACCATCATTATTTCAAATTCCAGATAGTAGAGATGTGCTACCAACGCACAAAGAACTTCGACAAGCTTTCCTTCCTCTACCTGATCACCGGCAACTTGGACAAGCTGCGGAAGATGATGAAGATCGCAGAGATCCGCAAGGATGTCTCAGCGCAGTTCCAGGGTGCCTTGCTCTTGGGTGACGTTAAGGAGAGCATACGACTCTTGAAGAACGCTGGACAGGTACTTGTTACAGTAACATGATGTTAAAAAGAGTAAGCGATCTTATCAAAAATCTGATAGATGATTTTACTTGATACAATTACCACCAATTAACCAAGTGATTTTCTCCTTAACTTCTCAATTTCTTACCATATTACTTTCTTTAAATTTTCTTTTTTTGTTATGATTTTTTTGTGATTATAAATGATCTCTATTTACTGCCGATATGGAAGATACCAGCAGTTTAAATATTTTGTCAATTAACAGATTAATAACAAGCGATAAATAAAATAAGTCAGTTCGTTCGTTGTTCGTTTATTTGGAATAATATATCTTCTTGACGACTCATCATCATCATCATCAACAGCCTTTAATAGTCCACTGCTGGACCTGGCCTCCCCTAAGAAAGGAAGTTTGACGACCAATGAGAGTTTATGAAAGGTGTTCGAACAATACTTTTCTGTTCGCTGAGAACGGTTCGATGTTTATCGCCCCGTAGCGCAAACTGAACTGTCTTACCGGCGAAGACGTGCCTGTATTTCTACCGTTCGTTAGACCACTACATTCTAATCCTTATGAGAAATACAAGTATGTTTTAAATGTAAACAAGATAGTCGCGCCACAATCTATTTTCGATCTTATGTGTATTGTTATAAAACTCATGGTTCCGTGCCACCCTGCATTATTAATGGAACTATTCCTCTTTTTTCTCGAATTTTCGTGATATTTCGTGACAACATATAACGATAAACTCGTTATTTCAGTTGTCTCTGGCTTACCTGACAGCCATCAACCACAAACAAATAGAGGAGGCGGAGCAACTGAAGACAATGCTGGAAGCCGCCGAGCTGCCCATCCCCGAGGCCAACCCAGAAGCTGAGCTAATCCGCCCCCCGCTACCCGTGCACACCGCTCAGCCCAACTGGCCCCTACTGGCTGTCTCCAAGTACGTAATCATTGATGCATTAGCGTTTGGATTGTACAGTCCATCATTAAACTTTAAATAAGTTTTTAGACATACTCGTATATTTGCATAATATGTGTTTACTTCAGACTATGGATCCGGAAACGATTTTAAATATTTGAACTGAATTAAATTTAAAATTTAAATATTTTTTGGTTTTTAAGTTTATTTTTATTCATGAAAACGCAATTAACAATTAATAAGCCAGCGAGATTGATCTTGCACAATTGCGGGAATTCATGTGATGATGTCGTGTTACAGGAGTTTCTTCGAGGTGGCGAGCGGAGCGGCGGCCGGGCCGGGTGTGGCGGCCGCCGCGCTGGCCGACGAGCCGCTCGAGGCCGCCGGCGCCTGGGGAGACGATGACGACGTCCTCGACGAGAACAAGGTTTGACTCCACTTTTGCCACTCTCACTTATATCACAACCCCTGACAAGTACGTAAACTAGAGACCGTGGGTCCGATTCTCATCCAGGACAAACAGTTGTGTGATGAACACGATTATTTGTTGTGTCTGGGTGTAGTTTATCTATAATATGTATGTATTTAGAAATATATAATTAAGTTTATCAGCAGTCTGGTTACCTGGCTCTGCCTAGTATGGGATCAGACGGCCGTGTGTGACATCATCATTATTTTGGTACGTCTGCCCCTAGTACGTCTAAGCGTTTACGCGTTGATTGCGATTCATTGAAACTATACAACACCACCCTACGACCAATAGGAGCTGACCATGAATGAATAATGTTGCAAAAATGGGGAAAATTTATTCCTTTTGAAAAAAATAAAAATATATATGACAAGAGTGTAAATTGAGACAAAACTCGTTAAATGCCTGCTAAATAAAAGAGCAAAGAAAATCGTTTGATAATCTGAGGAGAATAAGGATTTGGACTGTTTTATCTTGGCTTAAAAATTTTTAGTAAAGATGCGATGTATCATTAGTCATTAAATTTTACATTATTGGCAGATTGAAGGAGAAGAAGGTGAAGAGGTAATGGAAGATGCCTGTGATGACGGAGGCTGGGACGTGGGTGATGAGGACTTAGAGCTTCCTGAAGAGTTAACGCCTGTGTCTGGTGAGTGATCATAGTAAACTTTCCTGATGTTAGATAGACGAAGACTAAATAGTTTAGTACTCTTTCCTTCTCTGGTTCATATGGCTGAACTTCGATTATTTAGGGACTGTCATCAGACCTTCATAACCCATGTACTAGTACCATACCATACCATGTACTGTAATTAGGGTTCAATTATGAGTTTAACTCGTCTTCTTGATTATGAATGTTATAGTTATGTGATCTGATATATGTTATCTTCTGTGATATTTCCGGATCGATTCTACCTACTCCTGCCTTAAAGGTCGGCAAGGCGGTCGTGACTCCTGAGTTGCACACGTTCATGGGCAGCGGTAGTCGCTTTCCATCAGGCGACCCGTCTGCCCCCTCTTCTATAAAAAAATAGTGTATAAATATGTGTCGGTTGTGTAGCGGACATAGATGGCGGCGCGGAGGCGGCGGCGTACTTCGTGGCGCCGTCGCGCGGGGCCCCCGCGGCGCTCGGCGGCAAGCTGCGCAGCGCGCACGACCACGTCGCCACAGGACAGTTCGAGATCGCGCTGCGGTAAGCTATAAACATTTACTACCTTATATTTTCTAAACTCGCTGACAGGAAACCGCTAAGCAGCGGCCCTAGTGTGAGTTTATTTTACGTCGACTCACTCTCGGCAGCGAACGCTTTTGCCGTTGCGATTGGTGGAGATTTCAGTGCGGACCGACCTTATCGCCGAACGCAGTCATCGTGACGATCGAGTAGAAGTGAAATAAACTCGCAGCTGACCCTCACTACTTTCGTAACTTATCACCGAGTGAGTGAGGTTACCGGATTAGCTTCAAAGGGTGAAACTTTTGACTCAGTTACAGGTGTCCATGGGTGGCGGTAGTCACTTACCATCAGGTAACCCACCTGCTTGAATGCCTCCCCTTACCATTAAAAAATACCCAATGAAAAACTATATACGTACGTTCGTACGTACACACAGTTCTCATCAGTTAACTGACCATTAATGATTGAATTAATAAAATAATCAACGCATTCATTTGTATTATTGAATTAATGCATTCAGACCTAAGCTTTATTTTAGTTACCATCCACAACTAATTACAACTGATTTTCACTTTTGCTGTTAATAATTTTAGAATATCATCTCCATGGTAAATATATTAAAAACAACAAAAATGGATTGACCGTAAAGTTAGGATTACAAATTTAGAATTCAACCTTAATATCTGAATCTTTACAACGACAGATTACTAAAATGATTCTAACTCTTTTTATTTTAGGTTATTGAACGAACAAGTAGGCATTGTAAACTTCGACCCGTACTTAGACCTGTTCACGTCCATGTACGGACGCGCCCGCGTTACCTTCAGCGCTCTGACGTCACTACCGCCTTTGAATGCACATTTACACCGCAATTGGAAGGAAGCTAGTGGGAAGGATCTCTTACCGGTTATATGTAAGTCTGATAGAATTACTTCTTTAAAGTTCTTTATTTGTAAATATATATAATTAGTATTGTTTTTAGGGCTCCGTACCCAAAGGGTAAAACGGGACTCTATTCCTAAGACTCCGTCCGTCTGTCTGTATGTCTGTCCGTCTGTCACCAGGCTGTATCTTATACAGTTAGTTGAACAGTTGAAATTTTCACAGATGATGTATTTCTATTGCCGCTATAACAGCAAATACTAAAAACGGAATAAAATAAATATTTAAGGGTCCCATACAACAGACATGATTTTTTTTGCTGTTTTCATAGATAATGGTACGGAACCCTTCTTGCGCGAGTCCGTCTCGCACTAGAGCAGCTTTTGTTTAGTATCTTTGAGATACTAGTTATCTAAGCAAAACATACTTAATTAAGTTTTATGAAATAGCCGAAAACTTAGACCAACATCATAGGTACGTTATTAATTCCAAATCACATGAATACTTGTTTATAATATTCTGTCTATTTTTTATGTTAGAGGTGGCTATATATCTAAGTAGGCCTTTAAAAACAACAATTCATGATGTAATTTATGTTATTAGATGAATTATTTTTAGTGTAACATCATGATGATGTTCATCATCTTGGCCAAAAATCATCAAATAAAAAATAATAATTGAAATCAGCTAATTAGTGTAACAATTGAAAATAATTTCTATAAAAATGGATCCTATTTATATCGATATTCATTTTATTTATAAACTGCCTTTTTCTTGCCTCTTATCAAAAGGGTCTCTCATGTAGCGGTAAGACAGGTTTGATTTATAACAATATGTGCGGTTGGCAGGTCTAAAACTGAACGAGTTGGTGAGCCAGCTGCAGCAGTGCTACCAGCTGACGACGGCGGGTAAGTTCTCGGAGGCCACGGAGCGGCTGCAGCGCATCGCGCAGTGCGTGCCGCTGCTGCACGTCGACACCAAGCCCGACCTCACCGAGGCGCAGCAGCTGCTCGCCATCGCCAAGGAGTACCTGCTGGGGCTGCAGATGGAGACCGCCCGGAAAGGTGAGAGGGCCTGCTACATCATCACCATCAACCTTTAATAGTCCACTGCTGGACACAGGCCTCTCCTTAGAAAGGCGGTTTTGGCCTACTATACTACGCGGGCCAGACAGTTTTGTATAGGGTTTATTTCAAGTTGTACTTCTCTTTGCAGTGCTATTGTCCTGCGTAGTTTGCTACCTTAGTTGACTCTTACGACGACACCCACGGGATGAATAATGGTGGTGACACTCCATACTCTTAATCACTGCATGGACACTGTTTATAATGCTTTAGATCATTTGACATTTTTTAAGTTTAAGAAGATTTTTTCGTATTTCTTAAATTCCTTACTTGTTTTATACCGTTACTCGCCTTTAAATAAGATTACCTTTGTATAGGGAATCTAGTTTCACACCAGGCACACTTATCTCTCTGTATCCGTCAAACCTCATTGATTATTCAGAAATCAATCTTTAACTTGATTTCAAACAATTTTCATTACTTAATTCTCTAATTCTCAAAAAATTTTACAGCTATGCCGAAAAACACACTCGACGAACAGAAACGCACATGCGAGATGGCTGCTTACTTCACACACTGCAAGCTGCAGCCCGTCCACCAGATCTTGACCTTAAGAACAGCTCTTAATATGTTCTTCAAACTCAAGAACTTCAGAACGGCTGCCTCGTTTGCCAGACGACTCCTCGAATTAGGACCTAGACCAGAAGTCGCTCAGCAAGCTAGGAAGATCCTCCAGGCATGCGAAAAGAGCCTCACAGATGAACACCAGTTACTTTACGACGAACATAATCCGTTTAATATCTGTGGTATAAGCTATAAACCTATATACAGAGGTAAACCAGAAGAAAAATGTTCTCTATGCGGTGCCAGCTTTTTGCCTGAACACAAAGGCAAACTTTGCCCAGTGTGTGGTGTTGCTGAAATCGGCAAAGACGTATTGGGACTTAGAATTTGTCCTCTACAATTCCAGAGATAAATTATATTATATTTACGATTTATACTAATGAAATTATTGTGTAAGAATATAGAATTAAAGTATTGTATCACGTTTGTGTGGTAATAATTTATTTTTGTAGTGTTACAATATAACTATACTTATGTTGTGTACTATACTTCTGCTGGTTTTGCTTCTGGTGTCCTGGAAATTAAACATAATAATATTTAAGCATAGCAAGTAATTGCGATATAAACTAAAGACTACGTAATAAAGGAACTTGTGTTCAATTTGTTAAGTGCAAATTGTGCTAATACTATATATACTTTTCAAAATACAAATGCACCTTCGACTACTACTGTCTCTTCAAAACATTGGGATCCATCTTAAGGTTGCCTGGAAGATTTAGCACATGGCAATAAGGGCGCCCTTTGCACATTACATATTCTGATATCATCATCAACAGCCTATACTAGTCCACTGCTGGACATAGGATTTGGCCTACTATACCACGCTGGCCAGACGGGTTGGTATAAGGTTTGTTTCAAGATTTCCTTCTCTTTGCAGTGCTGTTGTCCTGCTTAGTTTGCTCCCTTAGTCGGCTCTTACGACACCCACGGGATGAATTAGGGTGGTATTTTTCATCCGTCATTCTGATATATATATGACTTGAATTAAAATGCGCTTTATTGTGTCGGAACAAGAATCACTATCTATGGAATCGATTTAACTCAATGGAACTTCTGTTCTAGTTTAATGATCAAAAAAAGCTATAAATTGCTATCTGTAACGAACGACAAACTAAGTTTTATGTGGTAGTTTCTTCTGTGTAGAATCATACATCTGAAATAAAATCCGCATGTTACTCACCTATTGTTAAGCATATCTTGTATTTCATCAAAAGTCTTCCCTTTGGTTTCCGGAAGCAACGTGGCTGAGAATATAAAGCCGATCCCGCAACATACGGCCAGGATCCAGAACGCTGTGTAGATGCCGTACGATGCCGCTACGTCGCGGAAGAATCTACAAGAAGTCTTATATTATAACAATAATTCAGAAGGTTTTCTAACAGTAATTTAAGTGAGGTTTATATCGTATTAGACTTTGCCCGTGGTTTAATCCCTATAACAGTAATTTTCCATAGGTAACTAAACATTTTGCGATTTATATCACCCATTAACACGAAAGTATGTGAGTATGTGTGTTTATAACTTCTTCACGCTCAAACAGCTGGACGAATTTTGATAAAATTATGTATGGATGTAGCTGACACCCTGCATCAACACATAGGTTACTTTTATCCCGAACAAATGTAGTGTTCCCATGGGATGAGCAAGGAATTTTAATATATTTGTTACTCTAAACCGCGGGTAACACTGTGGGGTGCAGCTAGTGCATAAATCGGTACAAGATAATATTCATATGGAACTAAATCTTTTTTGTTCCCCACGTTTCGATCGACTTCCAATTGCAGTGCGGATTTAAACAAATATTATTAATGTATGCGGAGGCGTATGTTCAGAGATCGCAAATAAAGACGTGTACCTACCTTGTCCATACGAATCCAGCCAACCAACACATAAAGGAGCAGATGCCACTGGCGAGACATTTCGTTTTGACCGGGAACATCTCCGCCACCAGGATCCACGGCACAGGGCCCACACCTGCGCGCAAGAGTAGGTTCAAATATTAAGTAAAATTCGATTATTTAGTATAACAAAAGAAACAATTTATGAGACTGATTCGTCAATAGAGTTTTAGATCATCATGACAAGACCTTAGAACATAAATACGTGTTTTTAAACGATGAAACATACGATTTTTACACGCGGGGGTACTGTAGTGGACTGCCACGACGGAAATCGTCGGTTCTAATAATAAATATACGACGAGCCTGTTCGGTTCGATTCCTATCTGTGTATAATTTACCTATAGTATGTATGTATGTTTATCAACAATCTAGTGACTATAATAATTATAATTTTCTTTAATAATGCATATAAATGACACTTTAAAAATATTAAAAAAAAAAAAAATTAAAAAAAGAAAAAGAGTTTAAAACATAAAAAGAGTGTCCCACTGGTATCGGGCACAGGGACCAAGCTATAAGTTCAGGGTTCCAGAGACCGAAACCTCCTTACAATACTGTACGAGTAGTATTGCTTTATTGTTACATACTAGTAATTGTTATAACTTACCCAGAGTGAAGAGCACCATGTATACAATGAGACATAACAGCGGTAAGAAAGCGACCGATGACACATCCACCTTGAAGTACGAGTCGATCAGCGCGTATACGCCTATTAGAGTCTGTTAATTAATAGTACAACATGAAAATACCACAGTCCATTCGCGTTAAGAAAATAATGACGCATCGAGCAATCCCCTGACCAATTAGGTTCGAAAAGAAAAACAGTTTCACTAAAGTGAAAGTGAAAACTTATATACAGAGATGTCGGTAACGGTAACAGTGTCGCAAGTTCAATTGTTTTTTCCCATCTCAAAAAATGCCCAACGCGCCTAAATAAGTTTTTACGTTAAAAATTATCGTTTCTTAGTAAAACTTGGAACCTGCATGATTGGTCAGGGTGCGGGGCTTGATCAATGCGTCCATATTTTCTAAACGCGAATGGACTATAGCTTATTTTCGAGTGAGTATACTTTTTTTCATCTAGATTACGGAAACACTATTTTTGTTAGGGGGTTTTCTATGTATTTTTATGGCGCAGGGGATAAACGAGCAAACGGTCACTTGGTCTGATGGTAGGTGACAACTGCCGCCCAAGGATACTTCACACACGTCACAAGTGCGTTGCCGCACTTAGAGTCCATTAAAAAGGAACCCCCTAAATTAGGGGACGACTTTTCGGACCTCTGGTAACATCGTGAAAAGTAAATAAGAACTGATTAGCAATATTTCTTTTGAGGCCGTGATCCATTTTCACCAATGCATGGCTCCAGCAGAGTTAAATATTAAATTATTTAGTTGTTAGTTTTTTTCTTTTGTCAATTCCCAGACTATCAGCGATGGGGAGACCGTTTGCAAACACTACTTACGAGAAATATTGTGAGTCCAAGTGAAGTGGTCCACATCAACAATTTCCTTCCAAGACGGTCTACCACCAGAGGCGTTACACAACTTGTCACTACCTGAAAAGAATAAAGTAGTTCGTTGTATTTTGTAACTTAATATAAGTATATACATACGTACACTTTAGTGTAATTTGAGCATTGTGCATTTAATGGTAGGAATAAGTGGGAGTTTATGGTAATAATAATAATTTATTTTGTATGATCATGAAATTTGAAAAAATCGGGTAACTGTACGCAATAGCTTGAGCAGAGGGCCTAGTGTGAGAGTGTTTCATATCAACTCGATCGCGTTCGGTGTTGCAATTGTCCGAACTGAAATGTTCACCAATCGCAACGCAAAACGCGCTCACCGTCGAAAGCCACTTGATGTGAAATAAACTCACACTAGGTCCTCAGATCAGGTCCGCATACCGGTTATTCGAACTTAGCTGTTACCGAGAAAACCAAATTCTAAGTGGAAGTAGTCGAAGAACTACCTGTACGACTCCCATAATGATGGTGCCGTCTGATGGCGAGAGCGTGGTGCCCACTTTAGAGAGCAGCTCCTCCATGTAGAACAAAAGGACGTCGATGCCGGACAGTTGGAGTAACATCGCCAGGAATACGCAAATACCTGAAATATTAAAGATTTTTTTGTAAAAAGATTTCAAATAGACCGCTGCCTGGAGAAAGTTGCTTAGAACTAGCTATAATAATAATTTATTGCTTATCACAATGGTTTTCTTAACGTTAAACAATGATTACACAACCCCTTTAAGCACTTTATACACCAAAAACATCACTAGGTATATATCCTCTGTATATTTTCGTTCTTTCCCTTAAGGACTGTTTATAAGGATCATCATTTCATATATTTATATAATCTGTACTTCCATACGTACTCGTATATTATAAATGTGAAAGTGGGTGTATTTGTTTGTGATGCCTTCACGCCTAAAACACTTAACCGTCTTTAAAAACTCTTTCACCAATGGAAAGCTACATTTTCAGCGTGTAACATAGGCTACTTTTTACCGCGATAACTGACATACACGCGGGCGAAGCCGCGAGCAAAAGCTAGTAGATCATTTATTATAGAATACGGGCCTGTTGGTCTGGTGGTTAGTGATTCTGACTGCTAACCCAGAGGTCGTGGGTTCGATTCAAACACAGGACAAATAGTTGCATGATGAGCACGATCATTTGTTCTGTGTCTGTGTGTAATTTTATCTACATATAAGTAACTTTCCATTGATTAAAGGATTTTTTAAATTGGTTAAGTGGTTCAAGCGTGAAAGCGTAACATAAACAAACATAGAAACAACAAGCTCACTTCCACATTTATAAGTATGGATATGTATGAATTTAGAAATACATAAGTATGTTTATGAGGAGTCTGGTTATCATACTACAGGCTGTTTGCAGGCCTAGTTTGATTGAGTTCAGACAGCCAAGTGACGGATGTATGAAGTTTTTATTACATAATATTTAGAACAAAGAAAAATTAAGAAGTAAAAAGAAGTACATTTAACAACCCTTATATTTTTTTTATGTAGGACGTTAGACAGGAAAGTCTACGGTGGATACAACTGACTATTAAATTGATTATCCAGACAAAACATATCAATACTAGAATCAAGAAACAATACCTAGAGCCTTGACATTGCCCCTTGTCGCCCACAGGTCTTGTATCTTGGGCTCTTCCTTGAACTCTCTGGTGACTATCGCCTGCAGTCCCTCCAGTTCTGCCTGAACACCTTCCTTTGTAGTTCCGCGAAGACTCTGCAATACGGTGGACGCACCCTCAATGTTACCTGATGAGAAGGGTAATAACATATCACTACCATGTCTTGAATGCTCCTCAGATTTCCATCAGATACTCTGATCATGACAGGAACGCCCACTCCTCTAATGATCTTCTTCACTGGCCTCTCCAGCTTTGTTCAATCTTTCTTTACTGACCATCTGTCACTGTAAACCTTTGGGATGCGTTCAAACAAGAAATGATTGTCACCAAAGCATGTCGCCGGGTAACCGATATACGCTATTTGCAAGAAGTGTTATAAATATATAAAATAAATGTAAAGTACTTACTGAAAAGTTTGAATTGTTAAGTAATTAATGTGTAATGTATGTGTGTAATTAATGTAGTTTGATCTTCGCTACATGGCATAAGATATCAGAATAGCGCTAAGTTTTATAACTGTCACCATTCATCATCATATCACTAAACTCTTAAACAATTGGCAGATAAAAAAAACCTTACCTTTATAAACGAGATAGAATGGCGTCTCTGGTATAAACCATGTGAAAGGTATGTAGAACAACGAGAGGATACCACCAGTGGCTGTCAGCCCCCAGTAGGTGGTGAATGGCCCTATCGCATACGCCAGCAGAAAGCCGATGTTGATGAAGAGCAGAAAGAACGCGCTAAGAGCACCACGAATTTTGTCCTGAAAAAAACATTTATATCGAATTATGCGGTTTATGAGAATCTGCAATGTATCTAAATACCTTTGACGTTTAATTTTTGGATGCTTATAAAATCCATTTTAGCAGTGTTGGATCATATGGATGGATGGATTTGATCATGGTACGACGTAATCTGTGCAGTCTTTTTAACACTCAGTTCAGTTCCTGTTTAGAGGGTATCATCTCTGTTTGTTGTTATCAGTCTATAGAATTCTTAGGCTGATTTACATATCCTAGCTTACCAAGAGTTTTAACAAATAAAATGTACTTACACGTACAAACTAATAACATTTGAATTTTTTACTTTTTTCCTTTAAAGTTACTGAGAAAGAAAATAAATTAAACTCATTTTATTTCTGAAGAACTGGTACATAAAATTTGATTTGAATATTTAATTCGGTCTATAACCTTGTCTTGACTTACCTCAGCAATTTCTCCAATATAGATCGGCACAGTTGCAAACTGCATGCCTGTGGCACATCCCCACATGATCCTGGCGACGTAAAGCGTCTCCAAGTTAGTGGTGACGCCTGCCAGAAGCCACCCCAGTAGCAAAGGAATGTTGGAGCCCATTATTATCCAGCGCCGCCCGATGTGACGAGACAGAGGCACTGTGATTAGAGGACCTGGAAGCCAAAAGACAATGAAAGTGGGAGCCTTGTACTTGGAAGAAATAAAGCCGTGTCAGGATAATCATGTAATAATGATTACCAGGAACCACACGGTTCACTCCCGTTGGTAACGGTTGATTTGATTTGACATGTGGTCCGAGATATAGATATATATATATATATATATATATATATATATAATATCATGTTCTTTGAAAAAGAGTTGTTCTGGAAGAACGGAAGACAGAACATAACTTTTTTTTTTGTTCGAGTTCTGAAATATATTCATTTATTCAAAATTTATAATTGTTTGTGTACCTCTCGGAATCGGTTTAAAGAGTCCACGTTCACATCTCATGACGTGAAGACTACCATAATCTTTAATAAAGTAAAAGTTACAAAGTAATATTTAAAAATAGTAAATATAAAACTATGCGCGCGGCATTTTGACGAGTATGTGATATTAAGCAATCCCAGCCAGATCAGTCTATGGATGGGTGACCATTCTTAACAAACTGTATGTTAAGCCATCGGTCCCGGTTGCCATACGAACAGCAGTGGCAATCGTTAGGGTTAGTTGGAACCCTAAAAAGTCCGACAACATTCATTTTAATTCGATATCGCCTAGTACTTGGGTTGTGAAGGCAGTCGCTCCACGTACGTAATCGAAGGTCAACTGTGTCGTAAAAGACTAAAAGCCGACCCCAACCTAGTTTGGTAAAAGGCTCGGAGGATAAGGATGTGATGTATGTAAAGGTGAAAATGACCTATATTACCTAAATACCTATATTTCATCTTTTTTACCCAATAACCCTCCTAGCACGAGCAGCGAGGCTATCCAGGACTCCTCCTGAAGCGTAGGCTCCCGCGGTAGAGGAGAATTGCTGTGCAGTTGTGGTAGGACTGGGGACGTCCATCCCATCGACATGCCCGTACACAGGCTGCCGTAACTTGCTGCAACATAAAAAGGTTGTTTTAAAAATTACTTATCTTTCTCTTTAATTGCTAGATGTAGGCTTGGAATGGGTATGGGGTTAAAGGGTAATAATTTACTTAACAATAAAGAAAAAATATGATTTCTTGTAAAACCACTAGTAACTACATGTACTATTTTTTAACAGCCGCGCTGTTATTTTTTAACCGCCTTCTAAAAGGAGCAGTTATTCGATTAAATGACTTTTGAAGTGAAAACTTCTTTAGGCGTATTAGGCATTTTTGAACAAGAAACAAAAGAATGTATTTTTTGAGATGAAGAAAAACCATTGAACTCGCCACACAGTTACCGTTACTGACACCTCTGTATATAAGTACATATTTTGGCCCCGTTTACACGAGCTGAGTTTGGGTTGAAATACATTGATATATATAAATATATATAACTATCTATCTATATATCTATGTGTATATGTATATACAATATGGCTCTATATCAGTGAAAACATAAAAGTTTTCACTTCTGTCGGCACTCCCGGAGTGCCACTGTTTTTTTTTGTGTGTAACATATACAATTTTGTATATGTATTTGAAAAGTTATATATCTTGATGAGTTCCAAAAAAATGTGATAATTGTTTCCCATTTCTACTCGTCATATCAGTTGGTCAGTATTGCACACCCTCGGGAGCCTGACTGTATTTGTTTTGTGTACTGTTTACTTTATTTTATTCTGTAAAGCGTTAGGCAGGCGGTAACTTACAACTGTTTTTACTTATTATTACTTCATCAAATTTAAGATTAGTTTTGTGTCAGTCATTACCATTTACCTACCTAGATCTAACTGTCGGAAGAATGTAACTAGCAATTTATCACTTTATAAGTATACTTATAATTGTATACAAGGTCAGAATTCGCGCGTGGACTAACATTACTGCTGTTCGTCGGACGGCGTCAGGCTTTACTAATTCTTCAAACAAACGTTATTACTGTTTTACCATTTTATTCAACTTTTTCTATCGACTCCTGGAGGATCTCAACAATAAATTACATAAAAAATACGTACTCAGATTTGAATTTGGCGGTTGCACAAATATACTAAGTGTAAATATTATAATATAATACACCCAATCCACAACTACTAGCATAGAAGAATAAATGGTAAAGGTTTAAAGTAGGTATTACGAGTTTTTGATATACCTATATTTAGTTTTATGCTTACAATTGACATATATGAATACATTTTTGCCTTAGAGTTCAGTGATTTTGGCTTGAAACAAAAGTAAGATATTTCTAGACAGGTAAATAAGTGCCAAGTACATACTTATTTACCTGTCTAGATATATCCTCGAAGTTTATGACAATTATTATTGTCCAAAACTGCGCAGTTACCAAGCAATTACATCTTTATTATTAAACTTTAATTAGGTCACACTTTTTGCAAGTGATTATTAAAGTGGTAAGTATAAAAGAGCTAAAAGGAACTTATTTATTGTTACGAAGTAACTGTTAGACAATCTGTTTTCATGAGTCATTCTTGTTGATTTGGGTATTTAAGAGTGGCGTACGATTTAGTCACTTAGAATTGGAATGGAATAACCAAAAAAAAAACGATTGAAAATTGTCTTTTCCGCATGTTTTTAATGTTAAGTGAGAGTGACCACATTTTTCTTTTAGCTGGTTTACTATTTATATGATAAACAAAAACGATATTTCAAAATTTAAAATATAATTGCCAAATATTTGCTTCCTTCCTATGTTTTTATGTAAATAATGAAAAGCATTCGACGATTGTGTGTGTGAGTGATGCTAAGTGCGTCTTTATTTTGTAATATATGCATTTTGTATTAATTATTATTAAAGTTTACTATGCAAATAAGTTCTTATAACAAAGAATTAAATTCATTGTTCTGTTAACATGGATTTTATAACGTGTATAAAATATAATTGTAAGAACAGTACAAAAATATTTTATAAACTGTCTCGATATTAATATGCCTCTACATAGGAACTATTCACCGTTTATACTAAACAAGCTGCGCCCCGCGTCGTTACCCCCAGTTGTTGTTATACCTGGCTCATAGCACGGGGACACTACACTTTATTGGGATTGCCATGTGCTATTCCAGACAATAATCTATCCGCTCAGCCGCTTTTTTCACAACATATACATATAAACAAGACCACGTTACCTTCTTTGAGACTTTAGCCTAGCCTGAATAATCAAATTTAAGTAATTTAGTCCCGTTGGGAGGCAACGGAATGTCACTACCCTGTTCATCCCGTGGGTGTCGTAAGAGCCGACTAAGGGAATAAACTGCGCAGGACAGAAGCACTGCAAAGAGAAAGAAAACTTGAAAAAAACCCTTTTTTAACGTATGGAAACCCCCTCTGGTCGTCAGTCCCCGAATGGCGTAGTGGTTTGTGTATCGGACTGCTATTCCAATGGTCGCGGGTTTGATTCCCTCTCAAGCCAAGCATTTGTGTACATGAACATTTAATGTTTGATTTGGTCTGGATCTTTCTATGTATAATATGTATGTATTTACAATAAAAAGTATATGTGTATTTATATCAGTTATCTAGCACCCATAGTACAAGCTTTGCTTATTTTGGGACTAGATGGCGTTGTGTGAATGTGGTAGAATATTATTATTATTGGGAATCTAATCGACTAAAACCACACGGTGTGCTAGTCCGTGCCTGATATAGGAGCGGTCTGGGAATAGCTGATATATTAAGATATCCGGCCCCCTCCCAGCGCCTGCCCGCAACAGCGCGGGCACCACCTTTGGGTAAATTCTCTATTGAGGCGATGTCCGGAACACGCGGACGACGTCTACCAGCGGCAAGTCGGTCTAGCAAATTTCCAGCGTGTGCTGGGCCGAGTCCTCACTCTAATCGTAGTGGTGACATACGGGACTCAATTCCTTCCTAGCGACCGAATCAATCGAAAAAAGGAAAGGGTCCCGTGCTGCCGCCCTGCCAATTGACGATGACCTGGCTGGATTGCCTCCACGGCGGCAAAGCCAGCACGTGGAGCCTTCAGCCGGGACGACCAACGAGCCGTTGCTCTTTCTTTTTCTCCGTTGTCTTACGCCACTCGCATATTCTTCGACGAGCATTTCCGCCTCCAAATCCCACACCGGTGCACCGTACAGTTAGCTTGAAACAAACCCTATACCAATCCGTCTGGCCAGCGTGGTGTAGTAGGCCAAAACCTCTTTTTAGGGACAGGCCTATGTCCAGCTGCAGACTACTTAAGGCTGTTAATGTGATGATGGTAGACTGATTGTTAATAATGATGAGAGAACCGCCCGTGGAACTCTCAGCAACGCCTTTCTAAGAAGCTTTTATAATACTATAGTTAAGCATAACACCTTTAAAACATATAAACTAAATTAAAATTTTCTTTTATACAGCTAATGTTGATTTATGTATCTGTTTAAAAAATAAAACATATTTTACATATCTTTTCAATAACAACACTAAGTTATAAGAAAGTATATTAGTCATTTCAATACTTATTACGAGTATAAACACCTTTCCTATTTGTCTGAACTCTACTTTTCAAATTGCGTTTCCATCCTGCCCGATAATAAACTCATGTTTCCTTCACTTGTGAATTAAAAAAACTTACCTAAAGATGCTGCTAAGTATTGGCGCCATTTCACTTTAAAATGACTTTGGAAAGTATCAAACATAATACGTTCACTTTTTTAAAAGTGTCTTCCCGCCTAAATTTTGAAGTGTTAACTTGTTCCAAGGGACACTGAACTACTTTTTAAATAAAAGGCAATAAAATTATTTAATATTAAATTCGACGTAAAATAAACACGTAGACGTGTCAACGGACAGCCATAGCGATTAAATGTGATATTCTGATCATTAGATTCGCGATTTCCTTTCTTTTTTTTTTGTTTATAAAAAAGGGACTGTGTTAGTTAATTGTCTTTTAACTCAGTGATAGTGATAGATATCTTAGAGATTGCTAATGGTAAGGTCAAGATCAAGGTCATAATTAAGATTGGCTTTATTTACGTCCATTCTCTAGAATGTACCTAGGTACCAAGATTAATTGGAAATGGCATTTTACTTTGTTGTTAAATAAATAAGCGGTAACGGTACCTACTTAAAGTTTAGGAGTTGCGTGAAGTTGTTGCGGGTTCGTACCCTATTCAAAGTTTGATCTTCTGCTACTTGAAAATAAATTAAAGGAGAAATTAATAAGAATACTAAATAAGTAGATACAAATGTAGATAAATAAAAGAAAAGAAAAAAAATTTAAAGATTAGATTACTGACCCTAATTTTTTTTGTTCCCAAACAATTTTGGTCAAGAGACCCCTTTTCTAAAATCAACTAATACCTTAGACCCTCGTTGCCAAATTACTGCACGACTTATCGACTTTTGAGTTTTTTTTAAAGTACCACAATGATACTTCCTACTAAAATATTGGTCATCCTTATAACAAGTTGGTACACGCAATACAACTAATACACTATCTTAAAAATTTCAAATTAGAACTTGGTTATAATTAATGGGGTCGGTCGGCCCAAAATCAGTTTACGTTTATGTCGTCCCGGGAAACCGATTTCGACCCCAAGGGGTCGATATCGACCACTTTGGGAATCCCTGATCTAAAGGAAATGTTCGCCTGCTGACAATCTACTAGCACCCCTTTTAGCGACCGTTGACACAGTTCGCTTACAAAAAAATGGCGTTAGGGGTCTAAGGAACGGTCGGAACTAAGTTCATTTCGCTCTTTGGTAGACATTTGCTATATACATATATGAAATATGAAAAAGATGTGAGCGTTGACGCGCCACCTGAAGTGTCGTAAAAAAGTCTTGTTATAGATTTTTCGGTCTCGCTCCTATTAGTACTATCCGCTCAGAGCGCGTACCGCGCAATAAGGAACTTCGTTCAAAGAAAGCTATCTTTATTAAAGAATGAGCGAAAGTTATTATTGGAACGAAGTTCCTTATCGCGCGTTACACGCTCTGAGCGAGACCGAAAAATGCAATGGAAAAATGTGTTCGTTCCGACTGGTGATCGACACACCGCTAGGTGTCGCGATCTGCGATCGGTGTACTGAATGAGAACACTAGAGTAGGGTCTATGAAATGGAAACTGTGCGCTGTATGCCATGCCAAATTTATAAACATACTATGTTTTAAGTAAATAACGGTAACGTAACCATACCGCGATTTAGAAAGCCCGTACAACGCCATCTATTGAGGATCTACAATTTTTTTAACTAAGATCAATCAATTGATCCATTTGTTTTTTGTATTCATAGTAAACAACCGGGGTTCCATAGACCCCTCACGAGGTTTTTTCTGTTATTGTGTTTTGTATTACATAAATATTTATAAGTAGGTTTATAGCGGTCTAGTAACAGAATACAAGCTATACTTAATTTAAGACGAGACGACTGCCTGGTCTTAATTCAGGTACAGCTGTAGGTCAGTGAGGTGGCAGTTATTATTTTAATTTTAGTTATTGATGGATTCTCAATTACACTTTGTTTATTAATTAAGATTTCGAACAGAAAAAAAATCATGTGTTTGTACATAAATATGTATTATATTAATTTATATTATGTATATTTAATTTGTAATAAATTATTTTATTACTGAGACGTAAAATCTTTTGCGCGTCGGCGTGCGGTTTCTCAATAAGTGTTTGTCGTTTAAAAATACACTGTTTAGTTCTGTTCTATGTTAAGAGTAGTTTCTGATTGGGCTCTTACAATAAATAACTATCAATTATTTGCAAATAATGTATTTACAAATGAAATGAAATCTTAACCTTGGAGGTTAGAGTCTATTATAAAATTAACCAGTACGTAAATTACT